GTACACGTCTCGATGCTCGAGGATATATATACGTTGCGAGAGATTACGACTACGAGTAGATGATAGTGTCGCGCTTCGTCTTGGCGATGACGTTGCCCTTCTCGTCGCGCGCGCCGGCGGGCGCCTTGGCCATCGCATGGTGCGCGAGCTCCTTTGGCACAGGCATCTCGCACGCCTCGAGGTACTGCTTGAGGTCGTACATGATCTCCTCGTCCTGGTCTGTAAGGAACGAGATCGCGACACCTTCCTTGCCCGCGCGGCCGGTACGACCAATACGATGGCAGTAGTTTTGGATCTTGGTCGGCACGTCGTAGTTGATGACGTGGGTGACATCCGGGATGTCGAGACCGCGCCCGGCCACGTCGGTCGCGACCAGCAAATCGTACGTGCCGTCGCGGAAACCCTTGAGCGAGTCCTCGCGCTGATCTTGGGACTTGCCACCGTGAAGAATCGTAGCGCGAAAGCCTTCCGAGCCAACGGCGCGGGCGACCGTGTCGCACTCCTTCTTGACGTTGACGAAAATGATGATCTTGGGCGCGTCAGTCTTGTCGCGCGACGCCCGAGGCGCACGAAGCACATCGCGGATCGTCTCCATGAGTTTCGAGCGCTTCTTTCCGCCGGGCATGAACCACACTTGCTGGTCGATGCGCTTGTTCTTCCCGGACGTCTCGTCACCAATCTTGACGATCGACGGGTGGCGCAAGAACGTCTTGGCGAGCCGCTCGACTTCCGGCGGCATGGTCGCACTGAACATCATCGTGACGCGGAACTTAAACTGGTTCTCGGCCACTTGGAGCTGCTGCTCGAGCTCGTCTTCGTTCTCCGACTTGAGGAGGCCGCCCATGGTCTCGAGTACGTCCACGACTTGCTGCTCAAAGCCCATGTCGATCATACGATCGGCTTCATCCAAAACGACGTAGTTGCACTGGTTGAGCACGAGGTACCGGTTTTCGATCACATCGTTGAGACGACCGGGTGTGCCAATGATAATGTCGATGCCTTCCCGGACCTTGAACGCCTGCTCTTCCTTGCTCTGCCCACCGACCACCGCCACGGTCTTGATCATGTGCGCGTTCTCGCCTTCACCGACGGTCGTGTACTTTGCGAGCTTGATGGTTTCTTGCTCGATCTGCAGCGCAAGCTCGCGCGTCGGCGCCATGATGAGCGCCAACGGTCCTTCGTCGGCCGTCCGCGCAATCATGTTGGCCGGCAGCTGGCAGAGGTACGCGATGATCGGGATCACAAACGCCGCTGTCTTACCCGAGCCCGTCTCGGCGATACCAATGATATCGCGACGCTCCAGGCCGACGGGAATACCTTGCATCTGGATCGGCGACGGCCGCTCGAAGCCCATCTCGGTGATGGCGCGGAAGAGCGGGGCCGGCAAGACCGCTTCGTTCCACTTGCGCAGCGGCCGGGGCGCGCGCCCGCCGCGCAGAATGATGTCGAAGTCTTCGCGAAAGATGCGCCAGTCGCGCTCCGACATGTCGAGAAGCGCCTTCTCACTCCAGTGCAAGGCGGCCGACTGGGCCAGCTTGACCGACTCGGCTTCGCGGTTGGCCTCGCGCTCCTGCATGCGCTGGAGCTCGCGTTCGCGCTCGCGCTGACGCCGCGCCACGAGCTCGGACGACATGCCGTTGGCCTCGTCGTCGGCCTTGAGCTCGAGCTGCCGCTTCCGCGTGAGCTCCGTGATAAAGTTGTTGCGCTTGCGCTGCTCGCGGAGGTCGACGCCCGCCATGTAGCCACGGCCAAAGAGGAGGTTCACTTCGCGCCGCTTGTACAGCGGGTTGAGTTCCGTCGACGTGTCGTCGGTCGCGTCCCAATCGAACTGAAAGTTCTTTGCAAACTTCTCGCTCGCCTTGATGATCTTCTTCTTGGCGACCTTCTTGCCAAGGTACTGCTCCTTTAGCTGTGCGAGCTCCTTCTCCTGGTCCGTCAGAAGCGGCGTCGCGGCCTTGGCGTCCGGGCGGCGGTTGGACCGCGCGTCGTGCTTGACGCGCTCCGAATCGCGGTGGCGGTCGAGCGATGTCTCATCAAACTTGGAGTACTTGCTCGCCGACGGCATTGGCGTTGTGGATGCGACCGCAGGCGCTGTCTTGGTGCGCTGCTGCTGGAGGCGGGCCAAAGCCGCGGCCTCGCGCTCGGCTTTGGTCATGAACTTGGGCTTCTTCGCCTCCGCTTCGAGCGCCTTCTGCTTCGCCGCGTACTTCTCCTCGGCGACGCGCGCAATGCGGGCGACGCGCTCCTTCTCGCGGCTGATCGCTTCCATCTCCTGGGTCAGGTCCATGCCCTCGTCCGTCATCGTTGTCGGGTCCATCGGCGCCTCCACAAACAAAACAACACGTGTGAAATACACACGTTTCCCACCACTCGGCAAGCTATTAACACCCAACTTATCTCCACCAACCTCATGCAGCGGCAAGCGCCTTTTCACTGTCACCCTCGTTGCAATAGTCCACGACGATGTCGTTAATCTTTCAATGCCAGTGCGGCATCAGCATAATTGGCGTACGCTACGGCCGGTAGTGGGTCAGTAGTGCCATTCCTTATGTTGCGTGATTTTAGATTAGATACAGGACCTTGGTGTGGGGCCACGTCGGGGCATTTTCCCACATCAACGATGGAGTTCCTCAGTGATCTCCTCGACTCGTCGAGGGTCTCGCCCGCGCCGTGGGCTGAGCCGGCGCCGGGCGCCGACAAGTACGAGCACGTGCGCTCGTGCACGGCGAACGCGCGGCTCTTTCCGCAGACGCTGCTCTCGGGCCTCTCGCTCCAGCTGCGCAGTCCGTCGCAGCAGTTCCAAGTGCACACGACCATGGCACGCAGTGGGATCCTCACGTCGTCCTTGAGTCAACGCATGTACGCGGCGAGCGGCGACTCGGAGGTGTTCGCGCTCCTCGCGCTGCACAGCCAACACCGTCTCTCGCTCTGCGCGGAGCTCGCGCTGCCACGCGTCGGCACGTTCACGTTGTCGGCGCTCGAGTGCGGCCAGAAGGCCGTGGGCACGCCGCCGAACGCCAAGGTCGGCTTCAAGGGCATCTACGACGTGGCTGCGATCAAGAGTCATGTCGAATTTGCTGTCGACGTCGCCAACGGCCCTACGGTGGAAGGCGGCATCGTGCTTGGCACGCCCGAGCTCTGCGTCGGCGTCGGCGGCAAGTACAACACTGGTATCGAGTCCACGGACGGCCGCAGCACGGGCCAGAAGCTTGAGGGCTGGAGCTTAATCGGGCAGTACAAGGCGAAGGACGGTTCGTGGCGGTCGACCGCCAGTCTCCGCGAGCACGGCTCCGTGTTGCGCTGGAACCTCAAGCAGCAAGTGAATTCGGCGCTCGCAATGGCCACCGAAATCGAATACCAAAAGCGCCGGAACGTTGTGGTCATGCACAGCCAAGGCGAATATGAGCTCTCGGCAAGGGAGAGTCTCTTTGGCACGCTCGACTCGGAGGCCAAGGTGGGTCTCGCCTACCGCTGCCGCCTCTCGCCCCTCGTCCAAGTCGCCGTCTCGGGCCGTGTCAACACGCTACAGCTCGAGACCGACTCGCACCAAGTCGGCGTCTCGATTCAACTCGGATAATGATCAACGTCGTAACCCATACAGTGTATCCCATACAGTGTTGTACACGATTGCAGCAGTACTAGGAAGTGTCGGACAATCTTCTTGCCGAGAAAAATCAACTGCTGGCGACTTGGCTTGTCACAGCACAAAGAGACCCTCCGCTGAACCGCTATTCTATGATAAATAGGGGAATCGACACGTATTATGCGAAGAAATATGTTGGACAAACTTGGTCCATTGTCCTGTGAGCAAGCTCGCAGCGACAAGGTACGTGATGCCGAGATACCGGAATAGACAACGTACCTTGGCTGTAGGGATAATTCCAGGGTCCTTGCGCGACCAATGACTCGGTGAGTGGGGTCCACCTCGGGATATATCTCACCGTACACAGCTCACTCCCAACGACCTAGTGCTGGTGCCGACTCCCACGCATTCAGGCGCAGCGCTACGTATGCGAAGCCTTTGTAATACGAAGATAACGCGGAACATGTTCATATATAAATCGAGTCGCGGCTACGGACATCGTGACCACCGTACTAAACACAATCCGTTATATCCTAACGAGGTCTAAAGTTGGCCCGTCTCATGAGTCTAATTTTACGCACTACGTCCAAGGAACAGACGGGACAACACTCGAAGATGGCGGCCTGCTTCTCGAGCAGCAGCCTTCCGTGCACCAAGGCCGACTGGCCGGCGTGCGGCTACGCGTTCGTCAGCGACGCGCCGTTCGCCGTCCTGAGTGTTTTCTGGCTCGGCTACGGTCTCGCTCACCTTCGCCGCCTTGGCTCGGCCGGCTCGTTCTTGCACTTTGACGTCGACGCCATCCACGACCCGGTCGCGCAAGGTGATTCGAGTCCAGACACATTGAAGTTTACAGATCGGGATTGGTAGGCATAGCGATTGCGCTGGCGCAGCGTAAGTCGGGTTCTCATCGACGCATCCAGCTGCAGCGGTACTTGAAGCTGCTCGGCATGTGGGCCGAGTGGCCGTCGTACACGTACACGCCGCTTGCGATTGGGCTCAAAGCCACGGGCGCCAACGGCCTCGTGAACCCCAACCTCTTTACCTTCAACGTCTACAGCGAGGTGACCCTCCTTTTTCTTATGCTGGGACTCGGGAATGTGGGATGTAGGTACTCAACATCACGGCGGCAGTTCTCAGCGGCAGCCTCCTTCTGCTCCTCCGGCACTGGCGACGCGTTCAGCGTACACATTCATTTGTACGATTCCGGTACTGATATGGCGTAGACGAGCCCCTCTTGCGCCGGTTTGGGTACCCGCTCGTGTTTGATGTGCTCTACATTCCGCTCATTTCAACGTGTACACGGCTCGCAACGTGCCCCGCGGGGTACGTGCACTTGTCGCTTCCGGGCGGCGCGACGTGCGACTGCCTCGACCGCTTTGGCATCTTTTGGGTACTGCATTTCCAAATTTCCATTTTCCGGCCATGAAATATCGTGTGTTTTTAGAGCGTTGGGTTTGTGGGCTTTTTGCTCTTGTACAGCAGCGCGCTCCATTACAAAATGTACATTGAGCCGACGGGGACGACGATGGAATTTCGCTTTCAGCGCGGGTTCCAAGTCATCATGGTCATGGCCCGCACACGTACGATATTTTGTGCCTAATATTTCGAAAGCGTGATATGATTTCATTCGTCTAGTCAATCCGCTCATGTCGATGCGCGCCAACGACAGCGACTTGAAGCAAACCTCTGCGATTCCCGTGGTGGCCATGATCGTGTTTCTCGCGTGCGTGCTGTTTCTCCTCGTGTATTCGTACAAAACGCAACCCGTACATGACCATATTTGTGCGATTTCAAGTCCCAAAATGACAAATTTCGTGTTTTTTAGTGCATTGGCAGCGGCCGCATCCCCAACAACATTCGCGTGCTCTCGTTTGCGAGCTCGCTCTACACTGCGTGCAGTGTTCTGTGCGTCCTGGCCGAGAACGGCGACGACAATGCGCTCTACTGGAGCCTACTGCCGCTTCCACTCGTGTGGCTCACCGCCTGGAAAATCAACGGGCGCCGCGCGACGCAATACCACATTCCTCATCTCACCATACTGGAGCTCCTCCAAATGCCATCCCCCCAAAGCAAGCTCGTGGGAACGATTGCAGCTCTGCATGTGGACGCAGCCAAAGTCCGACATCGCGACCACGACGCCATCATATCGCAGCTCCTCAAGATCGCCAAGCTAGCACGGTCCGGCGAGCTCCTTTGCCGTGCGTATGCCATTCGAATACTGTGGTTTTGCCACATTGAGGTGCTCGATCGACTGCACGCCTTATTTGCTAAGTATTGTCGTAGAATTTTCGAAAAACCAAAACTTGCGTGGGCGAGTTAACGCCCGAGACCGCCGTGCCCTCCAAGCTCTGGTGCAAAGACCGGGCGATCCCGATGCGACTCGCCAAGGCCAAGTCCACCACGTCCTTCTTTCCGCTTCAGGACCCGACCGCGTCGTCCCGGAAGCGTGTCAAGATCCACCGTGTCTCGACCATCAGTCTGTTGCGATTCTATCGATTTTTGTATCAACTTGATATTGTTGCGTAGCGATCCCGACAAAGGTCGACGACGAGCCCGAGGAGCCTACCACAGCATCGGCCCAGAGCCCTCGGAAATGGTTCATCGGGGGGTCCCATCGATCGTCCAAGCACAGCTACCGGGTCTCCACGCTAAAGACCGCACCGACCGAAGCCTACCATGTTGTATGCATTCGTGATAAACACTGGATCTCGCGCGTCGAGGAGCCGGCCGCTGCACACTTCCACTGCGTCAGTTTGTACCACATGGCGCTCGAGGCGCTCGCGCAGAGCTGTGCGCAGAGCGACGTGCGCGCGATGCACCAGGTGGCGCGTTTGCTTCTCGAGTGGTACAACGCACGGTACCTTCGCCTCAACGGTACGATCCTCACGCACATGCTCTCGACGTTGTGTGCGACGAATGACGTCAAGCTCGTGACCGACGCGACGTTGACCTTGCTCAAGGTCTTTGGCGACGGCGTTGTGCCCTACGACCTCTGGCTTCGCAATGCGTCCTATCTCAATCACTTTCTCCTGGTCTTCCAGCAGCCGTACGCGCCAACGATTCTCCGAGCCGCGACGCTCCTACAGCATGTTTTGGCGCTCGGCGAGGCGGACGAGAAAACGAACCTCTTTCAGCTCCTGACGCCCGAGTCGATGCGCTTGATTCACGCCGCGCTCTACAAATGGCACGACGACTACGCTATCAGCGAGCGCCTCGAGGCGATCTGTGACAGCTTGTACAACATTGAGCTGCACATGCACGCGCACCGGCTGCAGGAGCAGCTGCGGCGCAAGTCGCTGGCGCAGACCAAGATAAACACGAATGTGCTTTCGTGGGTCCAGCAGCAGCACAAGGCAATGGTCACCGCCATCCACCGGTCCGCCGAGTCGATGGTCACTGCTGTCTCGATGCGGATCGCGCAAAGCGTGCGCGAGTTTCGCAGCTCGGGGTCCTCGATTCTCTCGCGCCGGTCGCATATGTCGCACCGGTCGGTCCGACTCAAAAGCGCCAACTTGTCGTTGATTCGTTCTTCGTCTCGCCGGTCAAGTCTGCTCACGGGGACGTCGAGCTTTTCGCAGCTCCCGCTTCCGGTGCCGTCGCACCGCTCGACGGGACGGTTTCAGTCGTCGACGGGCGCGTCGTTCAAGGAGCCCGCCGACTCGATCCCGTCGGCACACGAGAGCAATCTAGCGTCCACAAACAGCCGCATCAACTCGCAGCAAACCTTGCGCGATGTCGAACCGCGACACGCTTTTCTCGAGGATGGGGCGAAAATAGTGATTGCGACCGAATCGGCCGACGTTGTCCCGTTCCACGCCCCCGAAACCGAGGGGCCGCCCCCCGAGGCCCCGCCAATGCCACGTCCAAAACGGATGCCGGCCCGCACGCAACGGCTTGCGACGGCGCAGCCATTTGTGTTTGTGACCGTCGCACTCTTGAGTGAGCTGGATCGGCGGCAGTCGCTTCGCGCCCAGTTCCAAGAGCTTTTGTGGGAAGCCAAGGAAGGGTACGAGATGGCCGTGCAGCACCCGACCAACGCCGAGTGGTTTGCCGCTCAATTGCGCCAGTCGCCAGTCGCAGGCAGTCCGCAAAAGCGTCGGCAGCGACATGGCAACCATGATATTTTGGACAAGTTTTCCAGAGTTCTCGAGCTCTACACGTTTGCCGAGAACTGTGCGATGGAAGATTTCGTCCATTCCGGTTTGGACATTCGTCTGCGCGCTTTCTTTGACGACCACGTCGCACCTTTTTGCGCGCTTGTCGCACCCGCCTCGACCAAGACAACGTCGCGCTGGTGGTCTTAACACGAGTGTGGTCCTGTAGACAGGCAACGTAATCGAAGGTTATTTTAGTCGAGGAAAACGCCTTTTTAGTTGAACGTGGCATGGAGCTGCACTGCGAATGGGCCGGCAGCAATGGCTCGGGATGCCACAAGGCGGACTGGCCTGCGTGTGGCTACGACTGGCTCGCTGGCGTCCCCGTCAGCGCTCTCTGGCTCGTGTGGCTTTTCTACGGCGGCACGCGCCTCCTTCAGACACTCAATGGCTTTCACTTTGATGCTGCAACGATCCACGACCCAATTGCACAAGGTACAACTATTGTCTCTGGAAAGAGGGGTAAGCCACGAACCAGGCATGGCGATCGCGCTCTCGCAGCGCAAGTCCGAGTCCCGGCGTCGGCCCCGCTTCCAGCGCTACGTGAAGCTCTGCGCCATGTGGGCCGAGTGGCCGTCGTTCACATATACACCGCTCACGATCGCCTTGAAAGCGACGGGGGCCGAAAGCTACGTGAGCCCGCTCGCCTTGTCGTTCAACTTGCCGACCGAGGTAATTATTGAGTTACTTTTTGTTGGTCAAGACGAAAGCGCAGGCGTGGAACCTCGGTGTTGTCGTCTTTTGCGGCAGTGTCGTGCTTGTGCTGCGCATTGGCGCATCGTCGCGCAATCGTAATATTGTCTTTTGTCCTGTAGACACTAACCGATGACTAGAGACCAAGTGGCTGCGACGTTATGCGTACCCACTGGTGTTTGACATGTTGTACATCCCGCTCGTTTCGACGCTAGTCCGGCTCGGAACGTGTCCGACCGAGTTTTCGCACGTCGCGTTGCCCAACGGCGCCACGTGCGACTGCATCGACGCCTTTGGTATCTTTTGGGTACGCTATTGAACTATCCATTTCGTTTTGGATAGTATATGGGATAGGCGGCGGGGCTGACGGGCTTTTTTGTGTTGTATGCATCTGCGCTCTACTATAAGATGCACATTGAGCCTTTGGCGACCACGATGGAATTCCGGTTCCAGCCCAGTTTTCAGATCATCATGGTCATGGCGCGGACCCGTACGTCGTCTGATTCGGACTCTTTATCTGACATGGTGTTCACCACAATTTACGGGATCTAGTCAACCCAATCGTATCGATGCTCGTGAGCGACTTGGACTTGCGCGCCAGACGCGTCATCGCGCTCTTGATGGGGCTAGGGTTTCTGAGCTGTTTTGTGCTACTGCTGGTATACACGTACAAAACGCAGCCGGTAAATAACCGATACGACACAACTAGTATAACTGTATTGGTCTAGTGCATTGGCAGCGGCCTCATGCCCAACAACATTCGATTTCTGTCGTTCTCTAGCGCCGGCTACACGTCCCTCGTCGTCCTCGTCGTTCTTGTCGCCAACGCCGACATGACGGCATTGTACTTTGCGCTGACGCCCCTGCCGCTTCTCTGGGTGCTCGCATGGCGCCTCAATACACGCCGCGCACTGCACTACCACATTCCGCAGCAGTCGATTCTCGACTTGCTCTGCGAACCGTCGCCGCAAGCCAAAACGGTAGGCGCGATCGCGGCCTTGTACATCGACGCGACCAAACTGCACCCGCTCGAGCTCGACGCTATTCTGGTGCAGCTCACGCGTCTCGCCAAGCGATCGCGCACGAAAGAGCTCCTCTGCCGCGCCTATGCCATCCGGATTTTATGGTTTGCCCATATCAAGGTGATGTCGCTATGCCTCGTCATTTACGATCATTTGTTATTGCAGAATTTCCGAAAACAAAAGCTGTGCATTGGGGAAACTCAGGAAGACGCTGTCGTGCCGCCCAAATTCTGGTTCAAGGACCTCGCGAATCCAAACCGAGCGCAGTGGACAAGCAAGGTCATGGCGAGTAGTAGCGGGCTTTCAGCCGTCGCTGACTCACTTGCCGCCAGCAAAAAACGCGTCAAGCTCCATCGTGTCGATCATGTCCTTAGTAGGCACTTTGAGTCATATCGCTCAACTGTGCTGATATACCTCTCGGTAGCGGTGGCCGTCGCCGATGACCGCGCCAAGGCACCTGCGACAGCGTTCCCAACGTCAGGCTCCCGCCGGAGCACCGTTGGCCGACTCCAACAATTGCTTGCACCGAGCAGCAGCCGCATGTACCGGGTCTCGGTCGTCGCAGCCGCGTCGACGCAGTTTGAGGTTGTCGGCATCCGCGACAAGCACTGGATCTCACTCATCGAGGCACCAAGCGACGCAGTTCAAGAAGCACGGTCGCTCTACAACGACGCGCAGGAGCTCCTCGCGCAGAGCTGCGCCGCAAGCGACCACCGTGCAATGACGGAGATTTCACTGTTTTTACTTCAATGGTACCGGTCGCGGTACCTCAAGCCGAGCAAGACGATCTATGCGCACTTGCTTGCGACGCTGGCCGGCTCGAACGACCGCAAGTTTGCCATGGACGCCACCTACACGCTCTACAAGCTGCACCTCGACGGGGTTCTTCCCAACGACTTTTGGCTCCGGAACGTCTCGCACCTCAACACATTTCTGACGGTATTAAGCCACGCGAGCGCACCCACCGTCTACTACGCAACACACGTGCTCAACCTCGTGCTGGAGGTGGCCGAGACCGAGTCCAAAGTCAACTTGTTTGTCCTCTTGACGCCCGAGTCGATAGCGAGCATCCAGACAACGTTCAAGAAGTGGCACGACGAGTACCAACTCAGCGCCGCGTTGGAGGATACGTGCACGCGCCTCTACAACATGGAGGTAGCCCAGCGGCTCTTGCAGCAGGCGCGCCGCCCGAGCAAGCGCCGGCGCAGCTCGCTCATCGAGTGGGTCACCCAGCAGCGTAAAGCGCTGAAGAAGACGATCGCACACATCATCATACCGTCCAAAGAGAGCGTCCGGACGCGGCGATCGACGGTGGACCTCCGCAAGATGCCAGCTATGGTGCAAAACGCGGCGCGGTACGGCAGCATGCCATTAATGGCGCGTCAGCCACTAGTGCTGCAAATCAACCGAAGTATTGCGTCGCACGGGTCTGACGTCATGCATCCGGACAATGATAGCGAGGGCTTGACGCCACCGGCTACCAACACCGACGACGACAATGTGAGAGCAACCAAAGGAGACGCGTGCAACCCACCAATCGAACGCCCGGCGCCGGTGGAGCCTACGGAGTACGGTCGGCTCTTGCAAAACCCGGACGAGCTCATCTTTGTGACGCGGCCGATCCTGGACGAGATTCACCGCCGACGCACGCTTCGGCGGGCACTTGAGCTCGATTTGGCGCGAGCATTTGATATCGTCGAAGAGGCGGTGACGGCCCATGACGTGGCCGTCGCACTCGCCAACGCTGCGCCTAGTTATGCGAACGCTACACGAGCGGAAAAGGGTGTGCGCTTCGCGGCTTTGTTGAAAGCGGCATTGACGCCGACTTGCGCGCCTTCTTCAAGACGCACGTTGCGCCGCGCTTGGCGGCGATGGTCGAGCCAAGCCGGCGAGAACGGCGGATCGTGCTCCCGTGGAGTAGAAAAGGCCCCAAGATATAAGCTACGAAGCAACAACTAGAAGTGTCAGGGCTGACACGTCTCGATCTCTCGGATCCGCAACATGATGACTTGTAAGTCTAGTATTTACTATTCACGTTACCTCTTGGGAAGTCGTCGGCCACGTGGGAAACAGCAAGCATTGGACGCCAGCTTGTACAAATGAAAAGGGATGGCGACGGATCACTAGACCTGGGCTTAAACGGCATCCGGCGTCCAAGACTTGCGCTTGGTGCACTGCGGGCACGCTGCCATAAGCTTCTCCAACCTATATTCGTCGATGGCTAACTGTACTGCCGCCCAACTAAAAATACACGGGCTTGTCCAGACAGGCAGACATATCGGCAGTTGGGAATGACAACGCTGGCTTGCTACGCCAATACGACCGCCTGTCGCAAGCGCGATTGGGCGGCGTGTGGCTACGGCTGGCTTGCGACAGCCCCCGTCGGCGTCTTTTGGCTCGTCTGGCTCGTCTACGGTCTCCGGTGCCTTCAACGACACAAGGCGACCAACAGCTGGTTTGACGTAGACAAGATCCACGACCCGGTCGCACAAGGTACTACTCTCGAGCCCTTTGTTTATATCTCGAAGAAAAGAGCGTAGGCATGGCCGTCGCGCTCTCTCAGCGCCGGTCGGCGTCCCTTCGTCGGTCCCATTTGCAGCGCTATATGAAGTTTTGCGCCATGTCGTCCGAGTGGCTCGCGTTCTCGTATACGCCGCTCGTGATCACGTTCAAAGTGGCCGGCGTCTCGAGCGACGCCAATGTCTTATTCTTGCTCAACGTGCCGAGCGAGGTCATCTCATGATGTCTCCTTTTTGCAGCGCCAAGACTCATAGACAAAGTAGCTCATCAACGTCGTTAGCACCTTGGTGTGGGGATGCCTCCTCCTCGGCCTGCACGTGTGGAAGGCATGGAGTCGCCGCCGTACGGCCACTGCGTCTTGACAAGGCGGCTGATGATGTGTCGGTAGGCTCGCCGCTCATCCTCCGGTTCATTCATCCGCTGACGTTTGATGTGTTTTACATTCCGCTCATTTCAACGCTCGGGCGGCTCGGGTCGTGCCCCGAAGGCTTCGATCACATCGTGCTGCCTGGTGGCGCCACGTGTGAGTGCGTGGATCGAATGGGACTCTTTTGGGTACAAATGCGTCGCCTTGAGATCGTGCAGTAGCGCTCTCGTGTAGGCCCTCGGCTTGTCTGGCTTTGTGATCTTGTACGCGAGCGCGCTCTACTTCAAAATGCACGTCGAGCCTCTCGCCCGCACGACGGTGTTTCGGTTCCAGACAAATTTTCAGATCATTATGGTCATGGCGCGGACGCGTACGTGGTTTGCTGTTTTTGAGATTGAGGCTCAATGTGCGTGGGACTAGTGAACCCGATCATGTCGATGCTCGTGAGCGATTTGGATGCGGTCGCACACCCTGTGATTGCGCTCGCGCTGACGCTCGGCTTCTTCTTTTGCGTCGCGTTCTTACTCTATTACGTCTACACGACCCAGCCCGTACTCTCTCCACCCAATCGACTCTTGTACTAAAGTCATTGTATCGTCAACTAGTGCATTGGGAGCGGCCGACTGCCCAACAACATTCGTGCTGTTACGTTCTCGAGCTCGTGCTACACGTCTCTGTGTGCGCTCGGGTTCCTACTCGCAGACAAAAGCATCACAAGCCTCTACTACTCGCTCGCGCCGCTCCCACTCGTGTGGGTTCTAGCGTGGCACCTCAACGAGCGCCGCGCACGCCTCTTCCACGTCCCCAACTTGCCGATTTGGGATCTGCTTCTCGAGCGCTCTGTGCGGTCCAAGACTGTCGGGACGATTGCAGCACTGTACGTAGACGCCATCAACTTGCCAGCGTCGTCCTTTGAGGGCATTATCGCGCAACTGGAAAAGATCGTCAAGCGATCGGCGCCGGACGAGCTTCCGTGTCGCGCGTACGCGCTCCGCGCACTCTGGTTCTGCCACGTCAAGGTAGTCATCCGAATAACCATCTATGATCCGGATAGACGGGCAATGTAGGGATTTTGCCTGCAAAAAGGCACCGTGGGCCAGCAGGATGACAGCGCAATGGTGCCGTTCAAGCTCTGGTACAAGGACCGCGAAGCAGGTGCTAGCTCACACACGCTACTGCAGAAGCAAACCAAGGTGCACCGCATCACCCAGCTCGAAGGTACACCAGTCTCTGGTGTTGCCGCTGTGCCAAATGACGCTAGATGTGGCACCGCATACGACCATGATGTGGACTCCGCCATTGGAGCCGCGTGCAGGCTGGCGCCGCGTGGTGTTCTTCCTTCTCGACGTCTCAGCCCAGTCGCTCCAGTCTCGGACACGGACGCGGACGCGGATGAGTATCCAAATGCTGTCCGCTGCAACCAACTACGCGCTGGTGCGACTGCGAGAAAAGCACTGGATCGTCAAAGTCGAGACGTCGGACGCCGCTGTCTTTAGCTGCACAACACTCTACAATAGCGCGCTCGAGGTCCTCGCGCAGAGCTGTGCGATGGGCGACGTCACGGCGATGCAGTCGACCGCCGTCTTTCTCCTCCAGTGGTACAAGGCCAAGTACCTTCGCCTGAGCAAGCTCGTGTACCTTCACGTGCTCACGACGATCGTCGCGACGTCCGACGCGCGCCTTGTGACGCACGCAGCGCTCACGCTGTACCGGCTCGTGCTCGACAACGTGCTGCCGCTCGACCTCTGGCGCCAGAACACGACGCACTTGAACTTCTTTATTTCGGCGCTGGGGCACGCAGCTGCCTCGACCGTCTTGCGCTGTGCGACAGTGCTCAACCTCGTGTTTCAAGCCGCCGCGGACGACCCGCGCACCAACCTCTTTTTGCTCGTGACGCCTGCGTCACGGGCCACGATCCACGCCGCCTTGCACCGCTGGCACCACGTGTACGACGTGAGCGTCCTCCTCGAAGATCTTTGCATTCGCCTCTACAACCTCGAGGTGGCCCACCAGACAAAGCGCAAGCCGTCGCCAATCAAACGGTCGCGCAAGACGTCGTTCAACAACGTCTTGCAGTGGTTTGGCGCGCGCAAGCGCTCCATCACCAACGCCATGGTGGACCAAGCCGCCGTCATCGTACGCTCGGCCGAGTCGCGCATGAGTCGGCGAAGCATCGCCCGAGAGCGCGGCGGCGAGAGTCGGCTCCGAATCGAGTCCCGGCGGCTCAGCGCGCCTCTCAACAACCTGATGGGGCTGCGGCCGCTTGTCGCCCACCGGTCGGTCAAACAAAGCGTGGGATATTTTCTGTCGCATGTCTCGTCCAACGGGCGCCGCGACAATGCGACTTGTAGCCCGAGCAGCACCAAGGTAGCACCGGCCATTGTCGTAGCGCCCAAGCCGCCACCGCCGGCGCGGTGTCCATCCCTGCGCGCCGTCAATTTTGCCACGATCGATGCCACCGCCCGTACCGTCGTCCGCCTCGACCGCCTTACGTTTGTGACCCCGGCGATTGTTGCCGAGATCAACCGCCGGCGGGGCATGCGCAAGCAGCTCTTGGATTTGCTACGCAGTGCCCAGTCGCTCCAGTCCGAGCCAAATGCGAACAGCAACAATGCTGTCGCCCCACAGGCGCGAACCCGCAACCTCTTGGACGAGGCGCTCACAAAGGCCGGGCACCTCGCATCGTCCGCGCCCGAGTGTGCGATCGCCGACTACGTCGCCCACGGGCTGCCCCCCGAGCTGCTCGCGTTCTTCGATACGCATGTGGCGCCCCGACTCTTGCATGCGACAACGCCCGCGACGGCAAAGACCCATGTATTCACATGGCTCTTCGCGTACGCCAAACAGCTAGTAGGTCTAAGACGAGGCTAAGAAATCGACTCTACTCGTCCTTCTTGTAGTAGCCGGCAGGCACAAACGGCATCTTGGCGACGACACCTTTTTGCATCTTGTTGCGGACCTTGAAGTGGAGCTCCGTGCCAATCTTGAGGTTGCCCTTCTTGACGTAGCCCATGCCCAGCGCCTGCTTGAGCGACGGGCTGAACGTGCCGCTCGTGACCTCGCCGATGCGGTCGCCAGCGACATTGTAGATCTCCGTGCCTTCGCGGGCCGGCGCACCGTCGACCGTAAAGCCAATCTACGCGTACCATGCGTGAGCTTGTCACAATGAGGAGGCGATCGACGACGTACGCGCTTCTTGGTCCACGTCTTGTTGTTGAGCTGGTCCAAGATGACGTCGGCACCCGGGAAGCCGCCTTCTTCGCGGCGGCGCTTGCTCATCGTCCACGCCAGCGCGCCCTCGATCGGCGTCGTCTCGGGCGAAATGTCGTGGCCGTGGAGGCAGAGACCGGCCTCAAGGCGCAGGCTGTCACGCGCACCCAAGCCCTATGCAAATCGAATGAGGTTCTTCTCGTAGGCAACGGTGTTGGGTACCGCTTCAAGGACGCGTTCGTCCGCGAGGAGCTTGCGCGTAAAGTCGGCCACCGAGCTGCTCGGCACCGACACCTCGAAGCCGTCTTCGCCCGTGTAGCCGCAGCGCGTGAGGATCACGTCGTTGTTGAGCACACGCGTGAACGTGCCCGTCATGAAGTTCATGTCGGCAAGGTTGACCGAGGCTGGAACAAGTCCCGCCATGATCTCAGCCGCGCCCGGGCCTACGTGCGATTAGAGATAGGCTCGCTGCGCCAGCAAGCGTACCTTGGAGGGCGACGAGCGACCGGTCGGCAATGCGCTCGAGCTGGACGTCGCCGTCAAACTTGGCGAGGTGCGCCTGCATGTGCGCCCAATCGATGTCCTGGTTGCCGGCGTTCACGACCACGTAGAGGTGGTCGTCGTACGACGTAATGACGCAGTCGTCGATGATCCCGCCCTTCTCGTTCGTGATTAAGCTGAGCTTGGCCTCGCCCGTCGTCAGCGACGCAATGTCGCCGACCACGATACTCTCGAGGAACCGGAAGCGGTCCTTGCCCGTCATGCTAGCAAGAGGCAGCAACGTGAGGCAAAGCGTTGGCGCGCGGCGCGGGTGTACCGGAGCTGGCCCATGTGCGAGACATCAAAGAGCGACGCGCAACCCGGCGTGCGCGTGTGCGTGTGGCTCTTGAGAATGCCGGCCGTGTACTGCACAGGCATCGAGTAGCCGGCAAAGTCGACCATCTACGGCCATCGTCACGAGCGCTCGCACGCAGGCATGTACCTTGCCGCCGAGCTCCTTGTGGAGGTCGAAGAGCGCCGTCTTCTTGAGCTACAGACACAGGGTATCCTTGAGCGACGGCAAGAGTCAATGGTCGCTGCGTACGCTGGAGAAGGCGCGGCGAGGGACGTGGCCAAGCATGCTTGTGAAGTGACTGCGAATTGCAAACTGCCTACTCATAAAGCGAATCCAAGGTCATGCCGGATACGGTGTCCGGTTATGTAGCTGCTAGAAAGGCAATCACAGGTCCCACTCTTGGTGGCCGCTCCTCGTACAGCGTCCACGAGCCCGATCGAACTGTGAACTTCACTGCGGTTCGCTGCTGCCGAGTGCGCCGCCGCCTGCTTGTAGGTAGGTAGTCGATGCTCAAGATCGCCACGCGTGAAAGATCGCAACATGCCGTGCGCGCGATGGATGCGAGGGTTGAACTTGGCGGCCATCTGCCCAACTTCAATCCGACCGCCAGATGGTCCTGCGTCGTGCAATCCAAGAGATGTGGCGTCCAAACTGTGGCGTCCGCAGCCGCCCAGCGACGCCGTGCACGAGATCATTGCGGTGAGAGGGTGCGCCCAGTTCGTTACGATAGCACAGCAGTAGACAATGCAGAAAGTCTTCTTGTTCAACGGGCAGGCGCCGACTAATTCGTCTTCATGCGGCGCTTGCTCGAGAAGCACTCGCCCCAGATGCAAATGCTCTTGGACTTGAGCAGGAGACTGAAGTCGTCGAGCGTATACTGCGTCGGCGCGACTTCGGGCAGCGACTTGTCCTTGATTGCCGCTTGCACGGCGGCCTGCAGCAGCTCGTGGGCCGACCCGACCGTGTACTCTTGGAACGGGTACGCCTTGTCGTCGACGGCAACGACGCGCTTCTCGGCCGGCACTTGGTACGTGGTCAAAATGTGCTCTATGGAGCAGCGTTAGTATGAACACAGAGGCAAGGTACCACGATGCGCGGGATACCGAGGATGGCTTCGATTTGCTCGAGCGACAAGGTCGCATCCTTGGCGGCGGCTTGGAGCTGGAAGAGGCACTCGAGACGTTCGTTGACGTCGCCTTTGACCGCGAGCGAGAAGGCGACCATGAGCGTATCGAGGTTGCACTTGCCGTTGGCATTCTTCGGAAGGCTCATAAGAACACGTTCGAGGTGGTGCTACAGCATATTCGATTCATGCGATTCCGAAGATGGTGCCGTACGAGGTTCTTGAGCTGCATGCCGTTGAGGACGCTGCCAAGGCACAAGTCAAAGTCCCGCACCGACGCCTCGTTGGTCGGGAAGAACGCCTTGGCCTGCGCATGGACCTTCTGGAAGACGTCCGGCCTAATGCAAGCGTGTGTGAGCGCGATGCTGCGCTGCTGCTCGTGCGTACGTGATGTCGTTCTGGGACCGCAGCTCGAACGCTTCGTAGGGCGAGATCGGCGTTGCGTCGGCAATCTCGTTTTGAATCGCTTCAAAGAACTTACGGTTCTTGCTGCCGCGGTAAATGTACCCGCCGATCGCAAGGATGACGGCGCCAAAGACGTACTCGGGGTGGCGGCTGAAGAAGCCGCCTTGATCGACAGGCACGGGCTGGACTGCAGCGCCGTCCGCAGCAGGCGCCGCGTCCTTCACCGCCGGGTTAGTCTGGAAGCGGCGCGTGGCCTTGGCATGGCGCGGCGCCGGCGTCAAGCGGCGAAGCAGCGGGGATCGACGCCACATGCGAGGTTCGTTGACGAAAGGCTGGAGTGATTGGACCTCTTTCTGGTACTATAATTATCTATAGTGTCTCACCACGGTGTTTAATATACCGGGTTTGAGACAGTATTGGTATGTTGGTCCTCGATCGAGCGATATTCGAGTGTGCATGTGTCATAGGTACGTGGCGTCGTGCCGTCGGCGAGGACGTGAGGACGCTGCGGGTGCCATTATAATATCTAGATCTATCTACACCCTACACGCTCCGCTCGCCCGAGCTCGGTAGGCCGGCGTCTTGGCGCGACACGGTCGTCTGGAGCTGTTGTTGCGTCAGCGACGACTGGTGCAATAGCTCGAGCATTTGTTCTTGCATCTTCTTTTGCTCCTGGAGCGCAGCAGCTTGCGACGCCGACGGCGCACTCTTGGTGTACGAGCTCTGCAATGGCACGAGGTCCGACGCACGCTGCGCGTTGTACGGTACCTGGCCCAGCATAAACGGCTTGGCGCTTTCATAGCTCACCGACTGGGCGCGCGGCAGCACCAAGAGCTGCTTCTTGGCGACAGCCTCGCGGCGCTCTTGGAGCGACACCATGGCCAAGTGCGCAAGCTTTTCCATGAGCGCGAGCTGCGTTGGCGGCAAGCTCACGCGCGGCTTCGAGTCCAAGACGCAGACGCTGCCGACGCACGAGCCATCGACGTCAAAGAGCGGCGCGCCCGCGAGGAACCGCACTTGAAGCGGGCCAGTCACAAACGGGTTGGTCTCGAACCGCCCGTCCTTCCACGTATCGAGGACGACGACCGGCATCCGAGTCGAGACGGGTACTTCGCAAAATGAAAAGTCCCGGCCAATGTCCGACTCCTTGATCGTGACTTTCGATTTGAACCACTGCCGGTTCTCGTCGAGGATGTGCACGATCGCAAACTTGCAGTCGAGGGCTTGGGACGCGAGGTCGCAGAGCAAGTCGTAAATGTCCTCGGGCGGCGCATCCGGGTTGTACTCGCCGCTGCTCGCTTCAAAGATGCCCTCTTCTTGGAGCCCAAAGCCCTCCATAAGTTTTTCGACCATCTCGCGCTTGGTCGGGTCCCGCGCGGCGATTTGGCTCAGCCACGCCATGCCGACTGAGTCGGGCACTGAGCCTTTTGACGACGGAAGCGTCAGTGCCAGCTCATTGCCATGTATGCCGGATGAGATCCGCGGGTCGAGCGCACTGCCCCGGCGCGAGATCGGCTCGGGTGCGGCTTGGTCGTCGGCTTGGGCGCTCGCCGTCACCAAGTTGCCGTCCGAGCACGACTTGCAGATGCGCATCGTCGTGAGGCCGATGGGCGGCAGGTCCACCGAGTTGATGATGGAGCACTTCTTACAGATGACTTCGCCGCACGCGCGGCAGTGGTGCTTTCGCCGAATGCCCGTGAACGACTTGAGGCAGAGGTGGCAGCACTGCCGCTCGTGGTCGCTCACCCACGTCGGCGTCTCGCGCTGCGTAAGGAGCCGGCTAATCCGGCGCGTGTGCACGCTTTCCTGAATGTTGGAGAGCGACTCGGCCCAGTACTGGAGCATCGCGCGGTTCGATCGCCGCGTCGTGCGAATGCCCTACATAGCACAGTTCACATAGAAGCTCCGAGAAGACGCAACTGGCTGTGTACCGGCGGCTGGCGAATGGAGCAAATGAACTGCGCTTCGAGCGTCCCGAGCTCGTCCGTGGGTCGGAAGAGGTACCCGCACTTGGAGATGGACCCGCGCTCGAGCCGGTGGCTGTCAAAGAGCGATGGACACTCGCTTTGGTCAATGGACTCGTAGAGACAGACGCCGACGAGCTTGTTGGGGTCGCCGCCAATGTAGTCGGCCGACAAGATCCCGGCGTACTCGAGCACGCAAAAGTCCTGCGACGTGGCCATCGCCGCCTTGTTCTTGAGCGCAAACCACTTGATGCTCAAGCTCTCCGAGTCGTTCTGGTCGCGCTGGTAGATGACTGCCGAGTCGAGGCTCATGTCCTTGAGCAAAAGCTTCATCATGGACCGAAACTCGTTCGTGTTGGTCGCGATCATCATGTCCATGACGTCCTCGAGCGAGGCCTGGACCGCGCCGACGCCGCGGATGCTGTAGAAAAGGCCGCCTTTCTGCCGGTCTTCGGACACGGTAATGCCCTTCTTCTCGTGCGAGAAGGCCCACTCCGAGTCCGGCGAGTTGAGCGACGGCACGAGCGTCCGCGCCCACGTGAGCAGCTCGACTTCTTCTGTCTCCGAGATGTGCGGCGCCGAGAAGAATCCATTCCGCAGCGGCAGCAGGCGGACCATGATGCAGTGAGCGTAGTAGTAGTAGTAGGACTGGGCGTGGACGTGGCCGACTAAGATGGCGTCGCGGCAATGACCCCACTGACGACGACGGGCTGTAATCCTCCGGATACCGCCATAAGTCACGCACCCCTCGCCAATATTCCACGTGGGTATCCGGATGTGGTCGTATCCGGCGCATTTATCCGGATAATAACCTGCGTAACAGCTGCGACAAATGTGCGCGGTTTCTACGAGTGAGATCTTTCTTGTGTCATTGCGATCTTATTGCAATCGATAAATTAGGATTGGGGCGGCAGCCTCGGGCGCTGCAGCAAGGTCGTCTCGGCGTTGCGGTAGCCGCCGAGAGGGCGCGTCCGTTGTGCATGGCGCAGCGCCTGCAGCGCGTCGCGCGGTTTGCTTGTGGCGCGCACCGTCGCAGGTTGCCGCAGCAGCTTCAACTTGGCCGCGTCAAACGCAGCACTTGGTAACACTAGTGGCGGTAGTGCCTCTGGCACGATGTAATACTCGCTTGACTGCGGTGGGAAGTGTGCAGTCAACCCCAGCACATGGTCGTCATGGATCAAGTTGCCACGGACGTCGAGACACTCGACGTGGTCGGCGGTCGGCAACGCGAGAAGGAGTCGGAGCCGCGGCACGACGTCATTTTGGAGGTTGTTGTTGCGCAGCAAAAGCACGCGCAGTTGGGACGAGGGTAGGCACTCGCAGAGCGCGAGGCCACCAAGCGACCCAATGCTGTTGTCGCTCAAATCCAAGAGGTGCAACGATCGTGACTGCTGCAGTCCAGTTGCAAGTAACGAGGCACCAGCGTCCCGGATCTTGTTGCCGGGGAGCTCGAGCCGCTTTAGCACCGTGTTGATCGCGAGTGCCTTTCCGATCGCATCGCATGCCGCGTCCGTAACACCGGCACGGCCGAGCACCACGCGTGTCAAGTGACCGTACCTAGCCGAGTTCACGTCAGGGGCACAGCGAGCAAGGGTGCACCGGCCAAAGAAGAAGTCGCCCATCGCACTCGCGACGTGGAGGACGCCGCTGAGGTTCATCGCATTGTCCTCCAAAATGAGCTCGCGCAGCTGAAAGTGTGCGGTTTGCACACAAGTGGCGAGCGCCCTACGAGGGTCTCTTGCACAAACACGAGCACGACAACGGTACCGAAAAGGGACGTCGCCTCGAATATCATTGGCGCCGATCGCAAGCACACGCAGGTTCTTGAGCTGGTTTGTTCGCATGGCTTCTACCAAGCAGCCAAGGCCCTCGTCGCTAGGCGCGCATCGTCAGTCGAGTAGCTTTGGTCGAGTCGCACCGCAAGAGACACCCCGCTGGTGCAAGGATTGTCTTGATGTTGGGTGCGCTCGCTGCGAGTGCGGCGGCCAAGTTGGCGCAGTAAATATCGTGCTGCAGCGGTTGCCGTGGCTCGAGCACGAGGCTTTCGGCTACCTCGAAGAGGTGGCGAATTTGACCGACCACCATGCCATCCCGAACAACGCCGAGACTCGCGACGGGGAGCTACACGGCAACGTCACCACCATACCTCACGCAAGGTGACGTACCGAGACGCGTAGTGTGGCCGTGATCGACGGCGGTGGCGGCACGCGCCGTCGCGTGAGCCCCTTGAGGTTGATCCGCGCTCGCCGCCCGCGGTAGATGGCTTGGATTTTTCGCGCATAAAAGTCCAAGTCGCGCTCGTCGTGCATGCTAAACACGATCCCCGTGAGCCCGCAACGATGCAGAATGTACAAAATACAGTGTTTCGTGGCCGCGCAAAAGTCGCTCGAGGAGGAATTGCGCCTATAATAACGTCGTCAACCTCTGTCAATCATGCGGCGAGCCTACCTCGTTAAGGGGCTCGTCGCGGGTCCAGAAGGCCAAGTGCCGGCGCCACCACGTTTGGATGCGAATGCACATATGGCGATGGAGCTGATACCGCGCTTCGTCGGCCTTGAGCTTGGCCTACGCACCACGGCTTTACTACGCAGCCGCCACGATGATACACTACGCGGTGCCGGAGGAACTGGGCCATGCGCGAGTGCTTCTTTCGGTAGAGCCGCTGAAGGTTGACTGCGAGGCGTGCTCGTCGCTGGCGCCAAATTTGCCGCGTGCGCAGAATCGCATGGCCTCGGATGTAGCGGACGCGTCGCTGGATCGTCGAGGCCGCACGCGTGCGCCGAAGCAATTCGGCATCAACGAGTCGCTTCTGTGCCAAATCCAGTCGAAACTGAGACCGAGCCTTGGCGCCCCAGTAGACGCGCTAGTTAGTATGTTCATTGCACGCATTGTTGCAGGCACGGTACCTGAATAATGGTGGCAGCGTCAACTTGCGCGGCAAAGAGCGCTCGGTACATGGGCGAGAGCGCCCCGAGTTCGTGTCGAACGAGGCGATCGAAGGGGTCGCACGATAATTTGCGCTCCTACGCACCTCCATTAGGACCTACGCGGCATAAGCCAGCGACACACGAGAGCGAGCAGTCGGTGGTCGCAGTTGGCCTTGTGCGAATAATACGCCCGCAGTGCCGGCAGCCAGTGTCGACTGGCCCGCTACAATGCACTCCATGAAATCGCCGGCTCCGTGAACACAAGATTGAACCTACTTGAAGCGTACGGGCAGCCAAGTCTTGGGCGGCAAACTTGGGCGCATACCTACGTTATCGCCATGTCAATCTGCGATTTTTGGAGAAATACACCGTCATTTCAACGTACTTTTCAAAGCGGTAGCGCAAAAGCACCTTGCGCGCGCGGAGGTTGCTGTACGGCGACGTCGCGTACGCCTCAATCGATGCAGCAATCACGTTGGCTTTGTGCTGCTTGGCGGCGTCGCGGCCCCACACACCGCGTAGAAGCGACGCAATGATCACTTGGCTCTTTGCTTCGCACTCCAAGAGCGGCCTAGTTTCGGTGACGCCAGGTGTGAGGAAGAAGAATACAAGTACCGCCAATGGTCGGGGTACCACTCGAGAAGCTTGGCCCGAATGTCCTCGCGGTAATGGCCAAAGTAGAATGCCGTGGTCGCGGCCGCCACCGCCGGGACCATCGCGTTGCACTTGAAGTACGCCACGCCGAGCTGGAGCCAAAGCGTCGCGTCCGGCTCCCACGCAAACGTCGGCATGTTCCATCGGCGAATTTTGATGCGCTTGAGCGCCTCTTGGGTCGCGTCGACGCACAAAATATAGCAGTGGCGCGCGTCAAAGTACTAGGAAACGCCATTGACCCCATTGGACTCTCGCAACGGACGCACGTACATCGACCCACGTCTTCCATGTCGATTCGTCTTGGAACCAGTCGGCCCAGTTTTTACCCGGAAGCGGCGTAAACAAATGCTGACGCAGCGCGACGCGATAGAGCTCTTCGTAGGTCTTGGCCGCGTACTTGACGGTGCGAGAGATGCCCAGTGTCTCGTGGACGCGCGCCGTGATGTACAAGACGTCGACAAACCACTCGGTCTACAAGCTGATGCACAATACTGTCATATCGCTGTCGCGATACCTTGGCGATGTCTTTGTCGATGATGAATTTACAGTACTCGCAGCACTGCTCCAAGAGCTCCTTGCCGTCCGACGATGTCACGTCGATCTGCTGGAAGACTATGCGCTGAAACATGAGCACGACTGCGTGGTAGATGACGCGGTCCACGAGCTTGAACTGCGGATACGTCTAGTTCACAGCGTATAATAAATAGTCCACTAATGGCGTAGCGTACAAACAGCAAGGTCCGCGCCGTGCCGAGGGCGTTAGGGAAGTCCCCGAGGCCTTCAAAGACCTGGAGGAGCTCGAGCATCACAAATGGGCTCGTTGCGACTTCCAAATACTTGAGTCCATACTGCATAATACCTGTATCAATCCCCCGTGCACAGCATTCGACGCGTATACCTCATAGCACTTTTTTGCGTCCCAGAGAAGACCCCACGCATGCGTGCGCTCCCACTGGAGGTAGCACGCCTTCCCGAGCGTGCGCCACACCTTGCCGCTGCTGGCACCGAGGTAGATGGCTTGGCCGAGGCGCTCGATCGCCTTCATGTAGTTGCCGAGCTCGTATTGGCTGTAGCCTTGTCGCTCGTAGCTCTTGGGGTGGTCCGGGTACCAGTCAATGTACGACTGGTGGTACTGCGAGATGACCGAGTAGACAGCGCGATGGAACGTCGCGTGGAGTAGCGTCGCCTTGGTGGTGGCGAAGAGCGCCGCCTCGTCCTCCTTGGACTTGGGTTTGGTGATGATTTGGAGCGCGGCGACCGAGTCGGTATTGAGCTTCTTATAGTCGCGCGGCTTCTTGGGCGCCTTCTTGACGACGCCATCGCGCTTGCGCGGCATGCGTGTCGTTTCACTCGTTACAACCCTACCCCTCCCAACTTCAGACACATTGTCCACAATCACCCCGAGACGGCGGCAGCAACTTCAGTCGACCGCATACGATGCGACTTGATGAAGAACCATACAATGACGCACAGCTCGTCACGGGTCTCTCCTGTTTGTGAGATTCTGCTATCTGAGAGCAAAGTTTGCAAAAAGGAGGAAACCAAAATGCTTCCATAATTACATGCCAAATTCGCCGAAAAAATCCACGTCCTTCTTGACGACCTTCTTGGGCTCGGGCTTGGGCAAAGGCTCGGGCTTGGGCGTTGCGTCAAGCGGCGTGGCAGGCGGGAACGTCGCGGCTCTCGGCTCGGGCGCTTCCAGAGGGGTCGCCGACGACTGCGAAAACGACTTTAAGGACGAAGTCGAACCACCATGGATGCCTTCGTACGCGCTCGTCTGCGGCAGCGTCGGGTTGGTGCGCGGGAACATACCACCATGGCTATCGCGATCGTCTTGCGCCGACGTATCGACAAGCGACTGCGCGTTCTTGAGAAGCGAGCTGGTCGTCGACGTGAGGAAGGACCAGCCTGACGACGCCGTCGACTTGACCGACGTTGTGAGCTCCGGGTCCGCGAGCTTGGACTGGACGCTGCTCCAGCCCGACGACACCTTGGTCGAGAGGTCCTGGTCTTTGACGAGGCTCGCGGCCGACGACGCCGCCGACGAGACAGTCGTCGAGAGAAAGCTAAACGCGCTGCCGAGGGTACTACGCAGGTCGGACCGTAAAGACACCGTGAGGTCGATAGACCAAGACGTACTCGGTGACATCGCCGTAGCCGCCGCTGGAGCTATGGTTGCTGCTCGAGACGCTGCCACCGCTGCCAATGCCTTGCATGCCCGACGAGCCAAACTTGGCGGCCATGCGGGCACGGGCTTCTTCACGAAGACGCATTTGCCTACCCTCCTTGCATGAGCAAGAACTACGATGCAAACACAGATCGTGGCTACCGGGCAACGTAGTCTTGTTCGCTCTCGCCCTTGAGGGCTTCGACGCCAAGCGTGTCCGAGCTGCCATGCGACGACGACGACGATGCGCTCGAGGCCGCCGCCGGGTTGTGCGACGGGTCCCAGCGCGGCAAGGGCGTTGGCGACGAGCCTTCCACAAGCGCCTGCAAGCGCGCGCGGAAGGCCTCTGCCTGCGGCGTGTTGTACTTTTGCGCAATTGTCAACGTCTTGGGCACGCCAGCCGCGTTGAACTCGCTGCGGAAATGGTCGTTGCCACCGAGCTAGCCCCCTCTGTAAGGAAACAGGGCCACACGGCGACTATGGCGGTCATACCTGCATCATGCGGATCTGCTTGTCCGTCCACGAGTCCATTGTCACGGAGCGCACGAACGAGATGTGCACGCCAAGGCCGCGGTGGCGGCCCGAGCACTCGAGGCACATGAACGTGCCATACGAGACGGTCGCCCATTGCGGGTACGGCGCGTCGCAGTCGACGCATTTCTACACCATGCTTGCATGAGCCGCCATCGATGCATCATCGCCGTACGTTGTTGCCGGGCAGCTTCCGCAGCTCCTGCTGCACGGCCATGGCCATCTGGTGTGCCATCTTGACGTCGCTTTGCGTTTTGGCGGCCGCGTCAGTCGCCGCCAACGCCGTCTCTTGACGTTTGTATGTCGCCGGTGGCCAATCAGCGCTCGTCCAGTGTCGAGTGAAATCTAGAGCAAAAAAGAACCGGCGCAGGCAGGCGCTTGACCTGGCTTGACGCACGCCATGGCCCCAAGGCAGGCTGCGCGGCCGTCGTAGCCCAATGTGCTATTGCTGTAGAGACCCTCGCCCAAGGTGCTGTCGTCGTCCCAGCGCACTGCACGCCCTCGTTGATCCTGCTTGGCGGAACGCGAAAATGCGACCATTACGCACAACATGGTTCCTCGGGTTGCAATGTACAGCTATCTCTTGTCGTCACGCTGATCAACTCTGCGCCACGCGCCACGAGCCCGCGCCAAGGCCAAGGTGCCAGCGATCATCGACACCTCGCTGGTAGCCGCCACTACCTCGTGGAGCCTCGCCGGGCATCCTATTTGCCTGCCATAGCTTGCTGCATCCAAGACTAGCGTGTAGACACGGGCTACGTCCTTGCGGCCATGAGCTTGGCCTCGTGTGCCCGGCAGGCAGGCGAGGGCCATGCTGCCCACGCGATCTTGCGTGCGCTGGTCCTCTTATGAGCAGGATGTTGTTCGATTACACGCGCAATCGAAGTTCGATGGCATTTCTTTGGGTGCGAACGATTTGTATTGGATATTTGTACTGTATAATAAAAAAGCAAATGGCCTCGAAGCGCGACTCGAAGTTCGAACGTCGCCGGCCATATTGGCATCACTGACTGCATGCAAGGAGCGGGCCACCAGATCTCGTCGCCATCGCCGGGCGTCGCCCTCGAGTCGAAGAAGCTCGCGCGGTTCTTCTCCGAGGACAAGCCGCCCCGGAAGCGGCTCGCGACCGCGCTCGAGTTCCTCAAGACGTCGGGGCCGGACCAGCAGGACCTCTTCTGGCGCGACGTCGTGAACGGCAGCACCTTCTTCAGCGTCCTCCATGCGTACCTCACGGAGCTCGAGACGATGTACGTCGTCATGGACAAGGCGAGCGTTATCAACAAGCTGCGCAACCGCAAGTTCCAGACCGAGGACTGGACCGACGTCTTTGAGGGCCTCGAGATCCTCATCAAGAGCAACAAGAGCCTCCTCGCGTCCGGCTGGCAGCACAACCGGTTCCTCACCATCTTCCAGAAGCTCCTCCTCGCCGACAACATGCCGTTCATCAAGAAATACGCCTTCCGGTAGACACGTCCGACTCGTATATGCTCATTAGCCTCTAGCTGCCTCGCGCTCTACGCCGACATCCTCATGGACGCCGACTTTGACATGCGCAACACAGCGACGCTCCTCGACTCGACGTCGACCGAGAACGTTCAGCTTGGCTTTGGCTTTTCCCACCTCGACTTGCTCGCCGAGTCGATCGACTTTTCGCCGTATGCGAGCGGGAACGCCAATGTGTACCTGCCGCCGCGCCACTACACGGAAGGCGCCGTCGTCGGCTGGGAGCGCCCGGGGCCGACGCAGGCCGAGGAGCCCGTCGATATGCTCAAGTACGTCATGGACTTGAGCCTCGAACGCAGCGACAACATCAAGGACGTCGACGTGCAGCGCTTTATGTTCTGGTGCAACGTGCTCATGGGTTCGTTCATGCCGCTGCTGTATCCCAAGGTATGGCTCGTACGCTTTGACCATGACTGCACAACGATGGCTAGGTGTGCATCGAAGTCGGCTTCAAGGAGAAGACCGACAAGCTCGGCTTCTTCCACCACTGCCCCGGCAGCTTCCAGCGCGTCATGGCCCGCTGGCTCTACAAGCTCCGGTCCAAGCAGAAGTTTATGGACGCGCTCTGGTCTCGAAAAGACTATGTCGACGTGGTCATGGAGACGCTGCGCCAGCGCTTTGCGTACCGCGACCCGGAGCTCATTGTCGACGGCATCAAGTTTTACGCGCAGCTCTGCAAGGGTACGCAGTACATGCCGCCCGTGATGAAGGCAAATCTCCACGAGGTATCAACTTGATAATTTGCGTTTGCCAACGCGTTTTGGGTAGCTGCACCGGTCGATGATCGGCCACGTGTCGCAGGTGTTCCATCCTGGCGCGCAATTCGACGACAGCAACATCTTTCTCATTGGCATTGAGCTCATGGAGCTCCTCTCGCAACAGCGCTTGCACGTGCATTCGTTCGCCGTCCTCCGCAAGGTAGGCTTCACGAGACCAATTGTGTCCAAAGTATGGGTGTAGGCGGTGCTGGCGACGACCGATGCGTCCTACTGCCTCCGCGACAACCCGCCCGGCCAAGTGGTCTTGACGCCTATGGTCTCGACCGTGTTCCACACGTGGATCCACGGCCTCGCGCAGCCCAACGGCGCGTCCGTCGAGGTGTGGGCCGAGCTCGCGACCATGGTCAAAAAATGGCTCATGAACCCGACCACGTCGGTCGCGTTTGGGCTCGAGCTCATTCGGCGCTGGAAGCTTGAGCTCTTGACGCTAAGCCACGTGCTGCAGCTGTATTTGGCGGCCGCCGTCGACAAGGAAGAAATGGGCCGCGAATTCTCTTCGTTTCTGATCCACGACGTGGCCGTCGATGCCGATAGATCGGTGGTTGTCGTCGACCGACTCTTGCATGTGCTTTCGCCGAGTACGATCGCGTCGCTTCGACCGCAATTGAGCCAAGCCGTCCAAGACGCGGTGCTTGAAGTCGTCAAGTTTTGGAGCGACAAGCCCCACCTTGCGTCGCCCAGCACGATCGTTGCGCTCTTCGGCGAGTGGTTCCTTCCGGCCTGTGACCTCACGTCGTCCGAGATGGAAAAAACGCGCTGCGTCGCGCTCGAGACGGCGTGTACGATCTTGACGCAGCGCGCGGCGGCCTCGCTGATTCCGGCTCATGCTGCGACCTTGGCTCAGATTCTCTTGAGTGCACTCCAAGACGACAGCCGCACGAACGTGGTCTCGACGGTCTTGCACCACGGCGCCGAGCTCTTCACGCGCTCGATTCCCGGTGTCATTGTGCTCGTGCCGGCCTTCCTCCGCACGATCGACACGATGATTGGCAGTGTTGGCGCGCTGCACCGCAACCTCCTCGCCGGCGGCGACAAGTCGAATGGCACCCGTCGCATGCCGCGGTTTGGCAACGAAATGAAGCGCAACATGCTCTCGTCGATGGAGATCCTCTTTGCCCTCTTACCGCTGCCCGCGCAGCTCCCCGAGCTACCGGACCTCAGCATCGCGTCGCACCTCGAGACGCTGCCCGAAGACGTGCACATTCCGGCCATGGACGCCGAGGTACGCGATGCTGCCAAGTTGAATGCTAACGTGTCGCCTCTAGTTGCACGATGTGGCCGGCCGCTGCTTTACCCGCATCCTTGAGTTTACGTTTCCGGACGTGACCGACGTCCAGCAACGCGCGCTCTGGGGGCTCTACGTGCTCATCGTTGTCCAGCTCAACACGGCGCCGTCGCCGCTCGTCAAGCAGTACGTGGTGTTGCTCTGTGACACGTGCGCGTCCTCGGATGCGGGCTTGGCGCTCACGGCCTTGTCCGTGGTCCACGCACTCCACCGGTTCCACGCGTCGCTCCTCGCGTACGAGCCGGCGTTAGTGCAGCACATCGTCATGGCGCTTTCACTCCTCGTGCAGCAGCAAGTTGAAGATGCTTCGAACGTTGTGCGCGAGATCCTCGAGACGGCGCCAGTCGAGCCAACGTCGCCAATGGCGAGTCTGACGCACTCGACGTCCGAGAGCAGCGTGCATGCGCAGGGCGGACGCAAGCGCAGCAATTCGTGGTCGGGCTCGGTTCGCGGCCTGGAAAAGCCGACGGCCGACAGCACGTCGCTCAAGGCCGCTGAAAACCCCGTGCTCAAAACGATCGTTGCCAAAACCACGGCGGTCTTCGAGACGCTGAGCGACTGGGTGATCGAGTGCGATACGATCCTCCACGACCCGGCCGTGCTCAAGCTTCTCTTTGATGCGCTCGAGGCCGCGCTCATCGGTAGCATTCCCGACGGCGCGTGGCAGCTCCAAGTGGAGCAGCAGCGCACGGTCGAGCACAAGATGGACATGCCATTGCTCTTCCTGGGCCTCGCGATGCGCGCGTCGCTGGACGGCGACCGCCACAAGCCATCGCTCCAGGTACGTCGACAACGTGTCGCGTCCGATTGTGGTGATGGCGTACGTAGTGCTTCTCGGACATTGCGATGGCAGCCGAAGGCTTCCTTATGCACCTTGTACGACGGAATATGCGTGCATTTGGAGATCTGAGGTTGTCGGTAGATGCACCATTTGCATGGGTTTCCTTCGCCGGCCGGTGTCGACCAGCTCGTCTCGTCGTGCACCGAGTTCCCGGACGAGCCCGAGACGTTGCCGCCCAACGCGCTGAGCTTCATCTACATGAACTCTATCGTGTTGACCGTCGTCGGAAGGTACAGAGCGTCATCGTCGCAGCCAAGCGCTCATATTCGGTAGCGTTGACGCGGCGACCGCGCGGATCGTGGCGCGCGACATGACGGGCACGTACACATGGGACGCTACGATGCCGTTGGCGTCGTCTTTGCCAATGCCGTCGCTGCCAACAGGCGATACTGACGTCGAGAGAGCGATGGACGAGCCGTGGACCAAGCATTTGCCGCCGCGGGCGTCGCCGGACCGCGAGCGCCTCGAGGTCGTCATGGACCACGCACTGGTGCTGGCGACGCAGCCGAGCTCGGACGTGTGTCCGCTCTGCGGCGGGCGTCTCCTCGAAAAACCTCCGCAGCCAAGCGCGGAAAAGGTGACGCAAATGGCGCCGTTCCCGGTCTTGCGCAAGACGGTGCCGAAGGGCAACACGCTGCCGTCCATGCCGCAGTACGTCTTCCACGACGAAACCCACGGCAGCAGCAATGGTTTGCACGACACGTACGTCTGCAAGTGCGACCCGGACGAGCTCCAAGCCAAGTCGACGCTCCCGACCCAAGTGTCGGACGCAACGTCGATCTGCAACCTCTTTTGCCTCCCAGAGGCGGCCAAAACCAGCGTCGGCGGCCTCGACCACGAGCGGAGCCTTCTCGACTTGCTCGTCGACAGCATCCCGATGCACTTTCGCGATTGCGGCGGCGACCTCATCGACAAGACGCTCCTCGGCGGTCGCTTTACGATGCAAAAGTACCTCGACATGGAGTGGGATGACATGTACACGACGGACGGCGGTCCGCTCCAGCGCGACGCGACCGACGTGCCGGGCTTTAGCTTTGTGCAGCGGCTGCTCCACGACGAAGAGTGCTACGCGTACCTCAAGACGTTTTTGCAAAAGGAAGAGAAGGGCAAGGAGCTCATTGAATTCTGGTACGACATATGGATCGTCGAGATGTGGCAACTTCATTTGTGCGTGACTAGCGACGGCGTGAAAAAGTACGAGCGGTCCTTTGAGGGCAACGACCGCGTCTCGCAAGCGACGCTCTTGTACTGGGAGTTCTTCTCGCCCGAGAGCGTCTCGTTCACGGCGTTTCCGTTCCAAATTGCGTCCAAGCTCCAGCACGCGCTCCAGGCGGCGCAGGCGACGACCGACGCCACGCCGCTGCCGCTGACCCTTTTCCAGGACGCCATGGACTACGTCGAAGACACGTGCTTCCTTGGCGAAGGGCGCCTCGATCGGTTCGTGTCCATGCTCAACGACGCGCACGCCAAGAGCTTGCATCCGCCGGCCGACGGCAACTGGAATGCATTCGTGGTGCCGCCGCAGCTCGCGCTCTACGACGCCTTCTCGGTACCTCTTGTGCATCAAAATCGCGTGCGAATGTCGCGATAGGTCATGGAGCTCAACGTGCGCATCTGCGCTGAGACGCTCGAGGTGAAGAAGTCCAACACACTGCTGCAGCCGGCGCTGCCGTCGTCGACGATCGCGCTCCCGACCGCGTCCAAGATGCGGATTTCACCGCTCGATGTGTGCCGGCTCTGGCTCGCACAGCTCGGGATCCTTCCGAACGAGAGCACCGTGGGCCAGAACCACGTGCTCATCCTCGAAAACGGCGTCAAGCTGGAGCGGTCGCTCAAGCACTTGGACAAGACACCGTCGCGCGAGACCATCAAGATTGGCATCGTCTACGTCGGGAAGCACCAATCGCAGCAGCACGAAATCCTTGGCAACACGCACGGCAGCGCCGAGTACGAAGAGTTTTTGCTCGAGCTGGGCTGGCCCGTACGTTGCGTGGAGCTCTTCTGTAGCCTGAGCGTTCGTAGATCACGCTCGCGACGCACAAGGGCTTCACGGGCGGCTTGGACCACAACCCCAAGTCGCTCTCGAATGGCCCGTCGACGATCTACTATGCCAACTCGACGACCGAAGTCGTGTTCCACGTCGTGACCAAGATGCCGACCAAGGCCAACGACCCGCAGCAAATCGACAAGAAGCGCCACGTTGGCAACGACCACGTGCACATTGTCTGGAGCGACAACCCGCAGGCGTACACCCAGAGCACGATCACGAGGTAGGAGCCGCTCGTATGTTGTTGTTGTTGCTCATGTCATCGTGTAGCAACTTCAACTTTGTGCAGATCGTCGTGTTTCCGCTGCGACAGACGTCTGAGGGCCTCTTCCTCATCAACGTGCTCACAAAGCCCGACGTACATATTGTCTCGTACAGCTTGGGAATGTGACATGAGCGTAGGTGCCGCTCTTTGGACCGCTCATGGACGGGATGGTGGTCACGCGCCGGGACCTCCCCGAGCTCCTTCGCCAGGTACGATTGAGGTGGAGATACGTACTTGAAGCAGTGTAGACGGTCATGAACGCCAACCGCGCGTGCCGGCAGCAGTCGGCGTGGTACCTTCCGCCGTACCCGACGCGCCGCAAGCTCATTGACGAGATTGTCGAGCGCTACGCGACCGACTACAGCGAAAAGAGCATGCTCACAAGCCTCTTCAAGATCCCGTCGCCCGCCGAAGGCCACAGCATCTAGCCTCGTCACGTCCCATCATTATGCACCGCGTTGTAACCCTAGCCCGGATCACACTTTTGTGTTCTCGTCTTGCGCTCTAGTTCAGCGGCACGTCCCGTTGACGCGCTGGTGTGTTGGCAGAGGCGCTTGCTTGTTGAACGCTGCATCGCTCTTCTTGTCGAGCGTAAAAATCCGACACTTTTCGGGAAAACGACGTGGTGACGTCGGCACGCTTCGTCAACGGGCGCTTGATGGCTTGGTCAACGGCTTCTTTCGCAGCGCTGCACGGTGGCATTTCGGAATAAGCAATGCTCCGCCGTATCGCTCTCGCTGTGCTCCATGTACGCACGCCATTATTGCGTTGGCGCCGTGTTGAATGGACGCACTAGGCCGTGCCGCTTGTCATCTTGCTCATGATGTGCATCTGGATGGGGGTGACGCTGACGATGTACAAGACGAGCGTCCTCAGTCAAGTGACGGCCGTGGACATTGCGGGCTTCTCCGTGCGCTATTCGGACGCGCACCTCTTCAACTGGCACCCGGTGCTCATGACGTTTGGGCTGCTCTTTTGCTCGTACGAAGGTACGTGCATCTTCTTTGCCGCCTGCGATTGGAGTCATTATAGCGGCGCTCGTGTTTGTGACGGCGCCCTTTGACCACGACACCAACAAGACTGTGCACGCGACGTTGCACGGGCTCGCGCTGCTCTCGGCGGTCCTCGGCGCGATTGCAGTCTTTTCGTATCATTTTGCCCAGAACATTCCGAACCTGTACAGCCTCCACAGCTGGCTCGGGCTGCTGACCGTCGTCGCCTTTCTTTCACAGGTTGCCACCATAGTGTAGCGTGCGTCCGCTGACGTGTGTGGATAGATTGTCGTGGGCTTTGTGGCGTTCTTGTACCCGGGTCTCGCGGCGCGCTGGCGGCTTGCGCTGGTGCCGTACCACGTTGGCTTTGGCCTCGCGGTCCTCGGGCTTGTGGCTGCCACGATCGGTCGACTCGTCTGTGTGTCTGGAGTGTACTGACGCCGGAGTCTTTAGTGACGGGCATCATGGAGAAGCTCGGGTTCAACGGCTCGTGCAACGTTTCCGGCAAGCTCGACGGACGCGACGTCCGCGGCTACATGGCGCCGGACTGCATGCTCGGCAATGCGATTGGGCTCTTGGTGGCGCTGACGTTTGCCAGCGTTGCGATGACGGTGATCGTCTCGAAGCTCCCGACGCCACCCCGCGGCCCGATCGAACTGGCGATGGACGGGACGGAGACTGTGCCGTTGATGGCCCACGAAAACTGACGTGCTCATGGACCCCTTGTGTAGTTGACTGTGCCTACCTCGTTTCCCAGCTGTGTGACAGCGTAACCAAACGAGCTCTTGTCGCTGTGCCTGATGTGGCCGAATTGGGAAGGGTTTGTGGGAGGACCCCCAATGCAGAACGAACACGCGCGGGGTGTCAGGGTGTAAGGGTGTAAGCGGATGTATCGTGAGGGTTGCTTGTAGTGGGGCGTAGGTGGTAGTATGGACTTGGACCTACCTGTCCGTCGACTATCCCGGTGGCCGGATTTTTGGCGCCAAATCCGAATACGGTGCCAGCTGGTGGTAAACCTCTGAAACGGCATATCGGGTTCGTATGTAGTTTTAGAGACAGGCCACAAATCACAAGCGCAGCATGGAGTTCTTCGCAGCCTCGCCCGAGGTGGATGCCACCGCGCTCTTCAAGGACGCCATCGTCGTCGCGGTACCTGCGCTGGTGGCAGCGCCTCTGCCTCATTGTCTCCTCTGCGCGTAGCCTGCCATTTCGTTTGCCAACATGGGCCAACTGGTCGTCGACGTCCTTGTCAACTCGGCGCTTGGGCAAGAGGTCGCGCTCGGCACCAAATTCGCTGGATGCTCATGCGTTCTGTGGTCTCTAGATGAACATGACGCGCGTCGGCTACTTGTTCTCGAAGCGCGTGGCGCCGATGGCCGGCGCGGCGGCGTTTGCTACCCAGGCGGCCGGAGACCTCTGCCTCAACATGGAGGTCATTTCGCATCCTTTCGTGCTTGCCAGTCTCAACGATACGCTAGGTCTACCTGTTGTCGTACCCATTGCCCGGCTCGTCGGCAGTACAAAAAGTTGCCTTTGTGCAGCAGCGCACGTCGGTGCTTCCCGTACGCCCTCGATCCCGCCAAGGCTGCGCTAACAGCCGGAACAACTGTAGGGCCAAAGCGCTGCGTTTGTCCGCGAGTTTGTTGCGTGGTCCAAGCACGTGCAGGCAGCGTCTGTTCTTTTGCTTGCTGGCGCCGACAACATGCTCTGCCACGACCGCGACATGCACGTGTTCGTCCGCCTTGCGTTCCTTCTTCCTACTAACGACGTCGTAGGCACCGCATCAAGTGGGCGGGCGCCAGCACCAACGGTCCTCTCTTCAACGATGCGTTCTTGGCCATGATCCCGCGCCTGCCGCTGGTCGACGGCGACGCGACGGTGTGGGACGCAACGCGCGGCGCGGGCCTCGCGCCGGCCATGGACCGCGAAGCCGCCTCGCAAAAGCTGACGTTTCTGTCGTTTGTGCTGTTCTGTGCCGAGGGCAACAACGTGCCGGACGCCGTGTACCTCTCGAGCTGCGTCGCGCAGTACCTGCAGCTGCCGCCAACCTCGTTCAAGCTCCAGCTGCCGCCGTCGTGGAGCCATTTGTTTGGTCGGGACCCGTCCGTCTCGCTCTTCTTGTAGATATACCGTAGTTTTGGCCTAAAAAACGGGAAAATCACGACGACCTTTCTATTGCTACGGTTTCGTACTTCCATGTCGATGGCGCTCGAGACCGGTGAGAGCACGACCGCGGAGCCGCCACCGGCGACAACCCACCAGCCAACAACCACTGGAGAAATACCGTCGCCTCACGATGCCGTCGTCGTCACTGCAGCACCCTCCGATGGCTCCAACGACAACCCGAGCACCGTGGTCGGGCCAGAGACCGTCGAAGCACCAACGACAACCGCGATCGCGCCTCTAGTCGTCGCAGCAGTCAGCAGTAGCATCTCACCGGTGCTGCCGCGGCGAAAACCTCCAAAGAGGGTGCATTTTGCATCATCGCCCAAACGACGAGCGCTCTCTTTCGCGACTAAAGCGACACGCGAGGGCGCGTCACGCTTCCCAATCTCCTTTGGGTGCGCCTCTGTGTCCTCTTATTGCAGCTCTGGCATGTTCTTCTATCTCGTAGTCGGTCTACACACCGCGTCGTTGTCTCGACGGCGCCGGCACCGATCGAGCAGCTCGTGGCGAACGAGGCAACGTACACGCTCCCTCCGATGGCGCCACTGCTGTGGAAGGAGCGCTTTGCTCTAGGCTACGCAGGTACAAAGCGCGTGCATGCGCTGCGCACCAATACGCCAATCGTGGACGAGCTCACGTTTTCGAGCCGCGACGGTCTCTCCCGCCAGCAGCGTCCGCTGGTGCTCGCCCTTGGCGCGGCGTACTGCTCGACGATCACATCGATCGTCATGCCAAAGTGTGGCCTCGACAGTGCGACAGCGCTCGCCTTGTTCCGCGTCCTGACAACGAGCCACTCGATCACGTCACTCGATGTATCGGACAACAGCCTTTGCGACGACGACATGCCTGCGCTCTGCGTAGCGCTGCGCACCAACACGTCGCTGACGCGGCTCGTACTCACGCGCAATGGCATCTCGGCGCGGAGTTTCCAGTGCCTCGCGTTTGCCCTGCAAGAAAACATCGATGGCAGCCTCCTCTCGCTCGACTTGAGCTACAACCCGCTATTAGCCGCGAGTTCGCAGCTGCTCGCTGACTGTCTCAGCGTCAACGAGACGCTCACGAGTCTCAACGTCGCGGCCACGCACGTCGTTGAACCCATCGTGCTCTCGGGTCTGTGGCGAAACTACACGCTCCACGAGCTCCAGCTTCAGCAGCTCGACAGCCCGGTGCCCCGTGCAGCGACCGATGAGAACGGCCGGCTCGCGCAAGACCATTTGAATATCACGCACGCCCCCGAAGTCATCGAAGGGCTACGGCGCGCCACGTCGGGCTTGGCACACTGCAATCTTACGGGCGTGCTGCTGCCGATTCAGACCATCAAGAGCTCCCGCTGGATCCACTTGCCAGCGGCAGCGCTCAACGAACTCGACGGACGCGTCATTGCGGTAGGGTGCATTGTCCCGCTTCCGCCAACATGGCACGTAGGGCTTGCTGTCCCAAAATCTTGCACTGCTCGAGCTCGATCTGGCGTCCAACCACTTGGGCGCCGAGTCGGTGGCTGCGATCATGGTCGCCATGAAGGCATGCCCGACACTCCGCACGGTCGACTTGTCGGACAACGGCGTTGGCGCCTACATTGGCGAGGCCCTGGGGCAGAGTCTCACGACCAACACGACCGTGGGGACGGTCAAGGTTGCCGACTTGATCCATGACGTTCAGCAGCTACGCGGCAACAGCGACGAGGTGCCAATGCCTTGGCGACGGTCACTGAACACACTGTCGTTGTAGGTGGAGGAGCTCACCATTACAAAAGAGATGCTCGCCGATCCATTGGATTTTTGGGTTGTCACAATGCTCTTGGGCGTAAACCGACGCACTTTGATCTTCAACGAGCTCCAGATTCCGGCGCTGGAAGACCATATCGACTACTGCCATACGCACCTCGCCGAGTATCGCGCGTCTTCTTCTCGCTCGTAATACGATTTCTGCGGCTAGTTACGAAGCGTCCTTTCTTGCGGTGCGCATTCGGCATCACTCGCACCTGCAAGTGCTGCAGCTCAACTGCTGCAGCTTGACGTCCTATGCTGGTCTCGTACTGGCCGACGCGCTTCGAAACCATACCGTGCTTCAACACGTAGCTCTCCCAAGTGCAAACTCAAAGTGCAAACTCAATTCCCTCTAGGTGTCGCTGGAGAACAACGCGCTCGGACCCATTGGTGGCCGCGCGATCACCGAGTGCCTCGAGCACAACCATTGTCTCACACATTTGAATTTGAGCTGGAACCAACTCAACAACGACGGTGTGCTCCCACTGCGCGTCTCGCTGGCTGCCAACCGGGCGCTGCGACGCCTCGATCTCCGCGGCAACGGCATCAGCACGATCGGTGTCGTGGCCATTGGCACCGGCATCGCGACCAATGCGTGCTTGGAAGAGCTCTACTTGCGCTGGAATGACGTGGCACCGCGCGGCGCGACGAGCCTCGCCACCGCGCTCACGCGCAACAAGAACCTCCGCGTCCTCGACATTGAGCAGCAGCACATGGAAGTCGACGGCGCCGTCGCATTTGCGACCATGCTTCGCAGCAACAAGGCGCTCACGGCGCTCAATATGCGAAGTGACCTCGTGCTGCACCCGACGACAACCCTCACAACGGACGGCGCGACGGCGCTCGCGATGGCACTGCGTGAAAACACCACGTCGTCATGATAACGCTTTTGTGGAAGCTCAACCGACTCGCGTAGGCTCAAGGAGCTCAACTTGGCCGAGAACCGGTTGACAGTCGAAGGCTGCGAAGTGCTCATTGGCGGTGTCGCCAATCTGCGCCTGCAAAAGCTCGATCTCTCGTACGCAGAGCTGGCGGGCGAGCTCGCGGTAACCTTCTTTGCGCAGCTCGCCCGCAACTCTTGCATGGAGGTAGCTTTTGCATCGCCAAAGGCCCCACATCCCACCATTGGTGGTGGTAGGAACTCAATGTAGAGCACAACAACATTGGGCCCGATGGCTTCAAGGCGTGCTTGCGAGCGCTCTGCGTGAATCGTACGTTGCGCGACCTCAACATTGGCTACTGCCACGTCACGGAAGAGGGCATGGTGCTCGTCGAGAAGCAGGCGCGGCTCTTCGCCCTGCTTCGGCTTCGGCTCGTCGGCAACCGCGTGACGCCAGGTACCAAAGCGCGACTACAGGCGCTGCGCGTCGGTGTCGTGCTCGATATTTAAGCACCACAAGAATGTGAAACGATGTTTCTGGTGCCTTCCAGAACCTTGATGCACGGTCCACGGTCGTGGGAACGTGCCAAACCGCCTGTTTTCTCCTTGATACGTACCCCACTGCGCAAACGTGGGTACGTTCTGCCGTCTACCGCATGACGCATCAAGACACAGCTGGCGCGGGTGTCCACGGCTGCGAAAGTTAGCACTAATTGTGCGTCGAGGTTGCAGTTCCGAGGCGTTACGTACGTGGCGGCCTCCGACGAGCGATAAGCCGCCGCGCTCATTGGCACGACCATGTCACAGATCGGCGTCGGCTGGAGTAGCCGGGCGACGAGCAATTGCGCGGCGGGTGCTGCTCATTTTCCGATTTCCTTTGTCTTGCCAAGCATGACCAGCTTTGCCAACACGCACACAACGAGCTCGCTCGCGGTCCTCACCAACACCCCGCTCCTTCAGCTCGTGTGCGCCTACCAAGACGGTCTCACGCCCGAGCTCTCGAGCGTCTTCCTCACGTACCGCCGGCGCATGCAGCGTTCGCTTGTGCCGCAGAAGAAACTCATCCTTGCCACCAAGGAGATGTTCCGCGGCCATGTCGCCCTCAAGCTTGTCGAGAAGGGCGACGTCGCGATGCTCCACGAGCTCGAGCGCCAAATTCCCACTGGGTATGCGCGCCCGCCTCGCAACGAGTCGAGTTACCTCTACGGCATCAACACGGCGGCGGCGCGCGGCCAGCTGACCGTTGTGCGCTTCCTCCATGAACACGACCTGGCCAAGTGCTCAAAGAAGGCAATGGACGACGCCGCGTCCAACGGCGACCTCGCCATGGTCACCTACTTGGACGAGCACCGTGATGAGGGCTGCAGCCTCGCGGGGTACATTTTGGCCGAGAAGCACGGCCACCGCGACGTCGTCGAGTACCTCCTCGCCCACCGCCCGCAAGACCAGAACAAGTGCCCGCCCTCGGACCCGCAGTTTGTGTTGCACCCGCTCTTGACGTCGGCCGCCGACGCGCTCGCCAAGGTGCCGGCCTGCGGCGTCCAATAGCCGAATATGGCTTCAAATACGCTCCTTGCCCTCTCCTGCTGCCACGTATGATGATGTCCCACGCCACTGCCTTTGTCGCACAAGGCCCGACGCTGCCTCTCCACGCATGTCCATTCGATGCATATCTATCTACTATCGCTAGTCCATGATGGCTACGCGTCCATATTAACTCAATCCGACGACCGACCCTTAAGGGCGTCTCCTGACTTGAGCGTTGCCTTGCCAAGTTGAAGTTGCCACGAAATTTAGCTCGCTCGTTCTCAGAAGCGTTTGGTATCCACGATGGCTGCAAGAACAAAACTGGTTCTCGTTCGATCTCCTAAACGAGGTGGCGGCGTCGACTCTAAGACTCTAAGAAGAAGAGCCGCAGACTCTAAGAAGAAGAGCCGCAGACTCTAAGAAGAAGAGCCGCAGACTCTAAGAAAGAAGAGCCTCAGACACTAAGAAGAGCCGCTTATATGTCGTTTCACAATTTACGCATCAGCGATCGGGCAGAGACAGACGGGCGTCGGGATCGCAATCGACTCGCCCGTCGGCTCGAGCGACCCGTTCGGTGCCAAGCGGTACGTCAAGATCGAGTCGGAGTTTTGGTTGGCCGACAAGACGAGGTCGTTGCTGACAAAGGCAAAGTGGCGGGGGAAGAGGCCGCCGCTCGACACAAACGTCGGGGCATCGACGCGACCGTCGGCAGTAATCGGGAACGTGACGAGCGTGTCGTCACCGCGGTTCGAGACGACGACGGCGCGGCCCGACGGCGCGACCTGCACCTCGGCGTTGAGGCTAAAGGCGTCTGTCTGGGCGCGCTCGGGCAGACGCGTCGAGACCGTCTGCAGCGGCGTCGCTGCAAGCGACCCATCGCTTTCGAGCGCAAAGACGCCGAGGCTGTTGCTCAGCTCGTGGACGACGTACGCGACAGGAAGCGTCGGGTGCATCGACATGTGCCGGGGACCGGCGCCCGGCGGCTGCGGCACAAACGCACGGGCGCTATGGGGCTCGAGCGCACCTGATTCGCAGCGTTTTAGTGAGAGGCTGAGAGATCGCATGGTCTCTTACCTGTCACCGCCTGGAGCGCAAACTGCATGACCTTGTCGTTTCCGAGGTCGAGCGCGAACAAATTAGCGCCTGCCCACGTCGTACTGTGGCAGTGCGGGGCTTCCTGGCGGGCGGCGTTCACGAGGCTCGCGCCTGTAAACTGCTGGATGCTCGACGCAGGTGCGATCGAGCCATCGGGCTGGATCGGGTACAGCGCGACGTTCCCGCCGCCGTAGTTGGACACGGCCACGTAGCGCCCGTACGGGTCCACGGAGGCGTGGCAGGGATACGTGCCATGCGACGGCTCCATATTCTTCAAGGTAAGTTGACCGTCGGCGCCGATCACGTACGCACGGAGAAAGCCCGTCGCTTGGCCGTTCACGTCGTCCGCACACTCGTTGACGACGAAGGCGACGCCATTGGCCGCGGCGACGAACGACGGGTTGACGCCCACGTCCGTGACGCCGAGGAGGCTCATCTTGCCCGTCGCGTGCTCGACCGAGATGGCGTAGACGCCCTTGCCCTTGCCGTCGACATGGTCTTCCTTGCGCGTGTACGTCCCCACAAGCACTTGCGTCGCCATGCTGCCAATCCAAAAATCCAAAATGCCAACTGGATTCCACTGGAATTCCGATGACGGCGAGCCTGTATACACATACAAACATCAAGTACATGTATCCAAGCCAGTGTACATTCCAGCGTCCCAAAACGAAGTGCGTCGAGTGTAATGCTAAAGGCGCCCCGTCAACGAGTGACGCGAGAGCCTTCACGCTGCATGATACCAAGGGCACTGGTGACATCCTTGAGGCACTTTGAGTTGAGTTTCGAGTTGGAGTTTGCGGTAAAATTGTACCTTCTGTACCCAGGGTATATCGACGGCTCCTCAACCCCGGACTCGTCACAACCGAGAAGCGCCCTGTGCCTTAGGTAGCACCCTTAGATGCTACGCTCTCAGCCAAGTGCTCTTTTGCAACTCCGCTGGCTCACACTCCGCAGTCGACGCAGCCCACCTCACGGCGTTGTCCGAATCACAGGTCCAAGGGCGCGGCTGGGCAACGAGGGATGTTCTGCAAAATCCACAACGACACTGGTGATAGCTCCAAAAATTCTCAAACTAAACTCAAAACCCATCGCAACAAAGCAGTTGCCACGACTGTCGGTTACCAAGAAGCGATGCTCGGGGTGTGGTCTACGACAGCGAACGATGCGCGGGGCGCCTTCAGCATGGCCGAGCTCACCGAGGGTCCGGTCGACGTGGGCGGTGAACTTTCTCACGATATGTGCGGGTAGCTACGTCCAACCACGTGGCGACCAAGTCGTTTCGGAAAGACTACCTCGCGTACTGCAAGCTCATGGCGCTCGTGCCCCACCCCAAGCTGTTGCCCAACTTTGACGAAGAAGACAAAGACTGTCTTCGTACGACGACCTCGAAGACTCGAGGACATTCGATACGATGATGTAGACCAAAACTACGACGAGTCGGACGTCGCCACCATCACCGTGCGCAACTGGATGCTCGACATGCCGTCGCTGTTGCTCATGGACTTGGCGCTGCAGCGGGCGACTTCGGTCCACACACTCATGTATTGCATCTCGTCTTGTGTGGTGAACTATAGAGGTTCTAGTCTCTTCAACGTGTCGCTGACCGTCCCGCAGCTTCAGTTTGTTTGCACGCAGCTACCGTCCACAAGCCTCAAGACGCTGCACTTGGAGTGGAACGACGTGCCGCCGCTCAACCTGGACGCGCCCGACACGATCATTGAAGACCACACCGTCTGGTACGACTACGCTGCAACCACTTGGGATGCCATCGGTCCTCGGTAGCTTTGCCCGCTTGCTCGCGGCACCGACGCAGCTGACACAGCTTTCGCTCCGCGCCAACGGCATTTCCTCCGAGGGTGGAGGCCCCGTCCTACGGATCAGCTCCGTCATGTCCGACGTAGGTGCGATCGCGCTGGCGGGAGCGCTTCGGCAAAACGCGACGTTGACGCAGCTCAACTTGTTTCGGAATGGCATTGGTGATGTTGGGGTCGAGGCGCTCGCGCAAGCACTCTCCGAGAACAAGACGCTGCAGCACCTCTCGGTGGCCAACAACGGTGTCTCGGGCGCCGGGTACGAGACGCACTAAGGCTCCGTCTCAGGCATTTGATGGGACGTACTAGTGCGCTGGCTCTGGTGCGCGCGATCACGCACTACGTCTTGTCGGAAGCCCAGCTCAAGCAACTCGCCGACATGGAAGTGCTTGTCCAGACTACGGTGCGTGCGGTCGTTATCTCGAGCCGACGTTTGCAATCGAAGTAGCTGGAGGCGGCCAAGAAGCAAAAGAAGAAGCTCGACCGTGCCGACGTGGTCAAAGAACTCAACATGGTTGAGACCGAAACTGTCGACGGCGTGGTGTACGGCCTCGGCAACAGCACGCTGCAGTCGATTTCACTCAGCGGCAACGAGCTCTCGGATGTTGAGCGCGACCTCTTGCCGCTGCAGCAGCTCCTCGAGGAGTTCGACGAAAAGCTACAGATGCACTTTGCTGGTCTCAAAGTGCAGCGCATGTTCACGCCCGGCCAGCTCACGGGCGTGGGCAAGCCGCTCTCGACCTTCCTCGTGCTGTAAACGCCATAACGAAGAGCAACGTGTCATTTGCAGCGTAGAATTACCGGGTTTTCAAAGGAATAGTATCCGTGTCATGGACGAGCGCACTCACACGAGGGTACACGAACAGCACCATCAAGATAAGCAGCGCGAGCGCAACGCCAATGAGCGTGAAGGCGCTGACGGGGATCCCGACCACCTAGAACATCAAGTTGCTGCTGCAGATTCGAACCAAGCTCGCGTAGTACCAGTTCTTCGAGAAGAATGTCAAACGTGGTTGCACGACGAGCAAGCTCGTCGGCGCTCAAGCGGTACGAGACGCCTTCGACTTGCATCGTTACCTACGCACCGCGCTGCAGGTCGCCACGGGCATTTCGAGGTCGTACCTCGACGTACTGCATACGTCCATCCGCGCTGCCCGTCACAAACGTCTTTTCCGTGTTGAGCATGCGTCGCATGGCGCCGTGGCTACGCTGGCGCTCGGCCTCGCCGTCGTCCAAGAGGCGCAGCTTGAAGAAGCTCGGCGTCGTGGCGCGGTACGACAGCTTGACCTCGTACGCTTGACCCGGCGCCGTCTCAAGCGCATAGACGACGGGCGCTCCTGGGTAGATGACCTGGCCTGTGGCGAGGACGTTCGGCGTCAGCGCCTTGACGTTGGCGGCAACCGCAAGGCTCGCCCATGCCAGGAGCAGCAGCGCTGCCAGACGCATCGCCAGCATCCTTTGAACCGGTTTATCCGGACATTGCCGGATGGGCGCTCAGCATCCGGATATGCGGATGCCTCCACGTGGCTGCGAGGTATCCGGACATGGAGCGCTCTCGTCACCGTGGCGCGGTGCGGTGCTGGCAGCGTATCCTGCAGAGCCCACCGCGTAATGCTCCGTGTCCATGAGACCTTGTCTCGTGCATCACGGCGCCTGTCGGTCGACTCGAAGCTCAGTGAACATGAATTGAGTCTTTTCCGTGCAACGGAATGTTGGTCGGCATACAAACCTCGAGTGTAAAGTGAGTGGTGGTCCACTCCCGAGGGGTCGGGGTCCAAAACTTTGAAATTAAAAAGCGACTTGCGTCAATAAAATACCAACAATCACGCGATCTTTACTGAATGTGTGTCATAAAATACAAATCGAACTCGATATTGTCACCGCATTTTAATAAAAAACGCAAACCACTTGGTCTTTGTATACTTCGACAGCCCAAAGAATGTTGAAGGGGCAGTATACAAAACGCTATATGTTGCAGAGAATGCTGGTCGGGCCCGACACTCGCCAGTTTGAAAATAGTCGGCAGCAGCAGCAGATGACCCGGAAGCCGACCGACCTCAACATGATGGGCGTGCCCCCAAGCCATCCGAACCCGCTCAAGCGCACGCGCAGCGCGACGGCGCGCGAGTCGACGGACGCGTCGCTGCCGCCGACGATGCCCAGCATGCCCAGCATGCAGCTCAGCATGCTCAACAACGGCGGCTTGCCCACGATGCTGCCCAGCCTCGAGCGCCGCAGCTCGTCGACGTTCTCGATCAGCAGCCTCATGCCACTGGATCGAGGCATGAGCAACATGGGCAGCATGGCGCTGCCAGTCTACCACAGCTCGGCCGACCCGCCGTCGCGCCAGAGTTCGATGCTCGTGTCCGAGTACATGTACCCAGCGGACATCCAGCCCATGACGTTTGACGACAAGCAGCGCCTCGTGCACCGCATTACAATGCTCCCGAGCCAGTACCTCCGCGGCCTCATTGACGTGATCAAAAAGTACCAGCCCGACACGGTGCGCCAGCTCGACGAAGAGTACGTCTTTGACTTGGAGCAAATGCGCGAGAACACCGTGTACGCGATCCAAGACTACGTGCAGATCGCCTTCTCGGAGCTCGACGAGTACGTCAAGACGCTCACGAGCACGTCCAAGCCATCGCACCACCCGATGGGCATGAACATGATTGAAAACTACGAGGCGCCGCGGTACGCAACGTCGGCCAAGTCGAGCCTCGACGAGCCGCAGTCCAAGCGCCGTCACACGGTCACGTCGGCGGCGGTCGACAACGCGACCAAGCAAGTGCTGCAGACGAACGGCCAGATCAAGTTTATGGAGCAAGTCGAGATGTACTCCAAGCCCAAGACGAGCAAGACCAAGACCAAGCCGTCGCAGCGCCACCAGTGCGAGACGTGCCAAAAGATGTTTCGCGGCCGGTCCGAGCTCCAGAACCACATCCGCACGCACACGGGCGCCAAGCCGCTCATGTGCTCGTACGCGGGCTGCGGCAAGACGTACGCGCACAGCTCGAACCTGCGCGCGCACGAGCGCAGCCACGAAGGCATCAAGCCCTACGTGTGCCACTACGACGGCTGCGGCAAGCGCTTCGCGCACAGCGTGTCGCTCAAGGAGCACATTTGGATGCACGCGGGCGTCCAGCCGTACGAGTGTCCGTTTCCCGGCTGCGGCAAGCGGTTCACGCAAGTGTCCAACTTTGCCCGGCACAAGAAGCTCCACGGCGCGGCCGCCAAGGCCTCGAGCGCCAACGAGTCGACCGTCAACTTGTAGACGCGCCACGTATTTAACCCTAGTCCGTAATACCTTTTTTGCGTAATTAGCCTCAGTGCTGGGTAAAGACGATGCTCAGCGGGTCGTTCTCGTCGTCCTTGACCTACGCACGCTCAGTTGATACAAGATACGAGGAGGATCCGAGTACTTCGAGGGACGGCCGAGGGGTGCGTGGTGACAGCAAGGTGCGCGGCGACGGCGACAGCGGCTTGACGATGGTTCGGGACGATCGCTTGAGCGCCATGAGACTCAGCGGCTCGCTGGGAACAGCGCCAGAGAAGGACGCGGGGCGGTGCAAAGTTGGCTCGATCGTCTCGAGCGCGAGCGCCAAGGACGCCGTCGGGGGCGACGACGACGGCGACACCTTGGTGGCTGCATTGTTGCTCGGCTCGGGCGTCGGCTTGGAGACGCGGTGCCAAATCATCTTGTAGTAGTCGACTTCTTTGAGCAAGTGCTGTTGTTTTTCCTACTCTCGAGATTGATAGATTGATAATACATGACGTGGCACGACAAGCAACGTACGTGGCTCAGCCGGACTTGTTCTTTGTAGAGCGACTGGTACTCTTGCACACTGCGCTCGACCGAGCTACACCTCCTTGTGTGTTCGAGTAAAAAGGAGGAAGGATACGAGCACCTCGCATGCTCTTCGCTCTTTTGAATCGTCTCCTTGAGCGCCTGATGGACACATCCATCACCGGCATCGTGCAGGAGACTGTCGTACCACACACTTGGCTTCGAGTTCCTTGATGTGAACTTCGTTTTGGTGCTCGTTGTACTAGCGACCAGAAGCTATATAGGCTCGATCGCAAACCCGGTAACTCGTACCCGGAACTGCTCGTTCTGGAGGCGGAGCTGGGTCATTTGACACACGACTTCGTACTTCTCGTGGTCGAGGACGGCCTTGGCGTACTCGGTCACATAATGCGCGTGCAATTTCATCTCGACGAGCTTGCGCGAGAGCATCTCCATGTGCTTTTGCGGGCTCTCGGAGACGACCCTACGCCGTCATAAGTGCTTCGACCGCTTCGATAACATGACGCACGTCTGGTCGTCGGGACTCGCCAAGACAGGCTCCATCTACCAGTGGCGTAAAGCTTCACTTCTTTAGGCGGTTATGCAGGCCGAGTGCCGCAGTGAGCACGAGTAGGAAGAGACGCCACACCTGCGACGCAAGCGACTGCATTTGGGCCTCGGCTTTGGCCTCGAGCTCCTTGTTGCGCTCGCTCAGGACGGTGTTTTGAGCGGAAATCGAGCTGTTGATCTCGTGCAAGGCCGTGATCGACGCTTCAAACTCGGCCGCCCGCGTATTGAACGTGCGATTTTGCTCGCTCAGAATCACGTGAACGTCCTTGAGCGCTTCGTTCTCACTCCGGCACAGTCGCAGCTAGAGACGACACACGTCAACACCCACAGCTGGCTACGAGCGGCGTACGTCTTCGGTGAGCTGCGCGACCTTCTCCATCGCGACGGCGAGCTGCGACTGGACCGCGTCCACCGACTGCGTTCGGTGGTGACGCTGGGATTGGTTGTCGACAAAGAGAAACGACGAGAAGGCTGGGTAACATCAAATCAAGGGATCACCAGCTCATCGCACTTGATGTACCTTGCATGAGACTGTTGGACGATGACGACGGCGCATCGACCGGCGCGGTCTGGCTGCCCACGTCGACGAGCGAAATGCAGTACGTCTGCGAGTCTACGCATGCTTTGCCTATCGTGGCTATGCAGCGACAGTACGTACCCGTCGAGATGCTGTGCTCGTGCTCTTCGGGCTCGAGCTCCAACTCTTCGCGCTCGAGGCCCTCGCACTTGACGAGAAGCGTCTCCTTCTCTGCTTGCACTTGCTGGAGCGTCGCTTGCAGCTCAGCGTTCTCTGCCAAGAGCGCTTGGTACATCTGCAACGCCCATGCCATCAGCATCGTACGCGCGATGACGCAGGAGTATACCTGCTGGTACTCGACCACGCCCATGCTCTGCGTCTACAGGTGGAATATGCGCCATTGCAAGCTCAGCAAACTGCGTACTTCGTGGAGGAGGGGCTCGTTCTTGATCTCTTTGGCGCGCATGCCAAAGCGAACTGTCGAGATCGTCTCCGCCACGTTCTAACACCGTCCTTGGTGAGACACGTGTCTAGTGTCAACAGCAGCGGACGTAGGAGCTCGCCGAGATGGTCACGATGAGGCACGTCTTGGCGTGCCCGCCAAGCGAATCTTGCAGCAGCCGCGTGAGCTTCGAGTCTCGGTGCACGCGTTGTCAAGGTAGCAACTCATAGAGACATGCAATCGATGGAGCGTGGAAAAGGATATGAATGGAATGTGCTTCTTCCCTTCAACGAGCGCTTTGATGACGTTGCTGAGCGCCGAGAGGCTCTTGTTGATCGCCCGCGCCTCGTTGAGCGTCTTGCCGGACGCCATGGTCTTGGCGACCATCTCGGAGCCCGCGAGGTCCACCACATACATGGTCGCCTTCTTCTCCGTGCCGGTCAGCACGTCCCGGCGCGTCATGTTGATCATGAGGATCGTGTGACTCCGGCTCGAGTCCTACAGGCGCGATGCTCAAGCCAATTCGGACTCGGAGGCGACGCGGACGTTATTCATGCGGGTGCACGCGACAACGCGGTTGGTGTTGCCACGCTCGACGAGCTGCAGCATCACCTCCTAGAGACGCGTGATCGTTTGACAGTCCAGCCTCCATGTACCTCGGACGTGGCCGGGACGTGCGTGAGGTCGTCGACGTAGATGCCCCGCGGTCCGTTCTCACGAATGCGCAGGTTCTTCTTGATAAAGTTGGGCTGCAAGAGGTCTCGGATCTGCTCCATGTAGATCTCGAGGAACGAGCCCGAGAGCTCAAAGTGAACCGTCTCGGACGACAGCATCTGGACGCTTTCAAAGATATCGTGGACAAGCCGCGCAATGAGCCCTTGCTACACGAGAGTCGTATCTCGATATGACGTGGAGAGGCGCGGACCTCGTCGGGCTTGCTGCCCACGCCTTCCTTGGGGCCGAGCACGGTGTGCGTCTTGCCCGAGCCCGTCTGGCCGTACGCAAACACCGTGCTACGCCGCATAGAAGCCTCAATCGATTTGCTTGCAACGACGCGAGTACCAGTTGTAGCCGTCGAGGAGGTCGACGACGAGCGACTTGGCCGTCGCTTCGTACACCTGGCGCTGCGTCGCGGTTGGCGCAAACACTTGATCAAACGTGCAGCTACGCATGTTTCTTGAGCCACCAACGTCGGTCGGTGGCGCACCGGAGGTAGTCGGTCGAGAAGCCGTCTTCCGGGTTGACCTCGAGCGACTTGCCATCGGGCGTCGCGACGCTACGTGCCAACATCCATGGGCAATGCCATCGTCGACCTCGGCGTACCACTCGAGCCCGCCTTGCTTCTTCTCGAGCGCGTTCTGCGGTCGGACGCGGCAAGACACGTGGATGTTGCTCATGGACACTGCGAGACTGAGCCAAAAACAGCCCACGAATAACGGCCTCAAAACGACTGCATTGCGTGGCGCCAGCAGACCATCTATCCAAGAACGGGATACGCGGTGTATCCGATAGTTGAGGGTTATACTAAACTCCATGGAAAATAATGATCCCTCGATAGTCTATCCCCTAGTTACAGGGGATGGAGCAGCTTTGAGCTATCGCATTTGCAGCCAATATATGGTGGTGACAAGGGAATCCCAATTCCCTTGGATGGTGACGAGATACGAGACCCTCCCCACCGCCGCAGCATGCACCAAGACGTAACACATCGACTCGCGATCGCCATCTTGACAGGATCCCCAGCCATCTCTGCAGTTAAAGTCCACGATCGTATATGAAACATAGGAGCGACGCTAGTACTTGGGGGCGTCCATGTGCGGGGCAATGTGCTGCATCCAGAGGTCGTTGGCCTCGAGGCGCCCGCGGAAGATGCTTGGGCCGATGAGCGCGCTCAGCTGCTTGACGCAGTCGATAGCTGCGAACCGCGCGAGCCGGGGCGAGCCTACACATAGTTCATCAGCAGAGTCTGGAGGTGTATCCGGTACCTTGCAGCGTCATGGCCAGCGGATCAAAGAAGAGCTCAATGTGGCGCTTGAACATCTGCTTGCCGAGGCTGTGGCCGATCGCAGGCAGCTGCTTCCACAGCGTTTCTTGGAGCACGCCCGTCTGCGGAAAGTGGCGCAGGATCGCAGCGTCCACGAGCAGCGGGAAGAGTTCGATCGCGCGCGCCTGGGTCGCCGGCACGTCGCAGAGCTCGCGCACCAAGTAGATGCCGCCGTCCGTGTGCGCCCAGAGCGCGTGGCCAGCGTCGTGGTCGTCGCAGTCGTGCAGCTGACGCTTCACCTGGCGCGGCTCAAACGAGCAGCACGAGAAGCGCTGCTTGCCCATGTGCGCGGTCTCGGCCTTGATGAGCGCTTCGTACGCGGCTTGCGTCATCGGAGGCTGCTCTTTGGCCTTGGGCAAAAAGGAGGACGCAATCGCTAGAATCGACTCGAGCAGCGCCGGGTCTTCAGTCGCGTACGCCCGCGCGCACGTGCCCAGCGCAATCGCGGCGTTCTCGCGCACGGACCACACGTCGTCCGACAAGTGGATCGTCCACCATTTGATCTAGTGCAACATATGAATTGCGAGTTTTTCGATGATGGCGTGACGAGACGCACGAGCTTGTCGACGCAATGACGCGCCTCCTTCGGGAACGCGAGCACGACGTGCGACGACGCGCTGCACGCCGCGTCGCTGACCGTGAACACGTCGTCTTGGAGCGTGACGCGGCAGGCGAGGAGGAGATCGTCGACGAATGGGCGGACGGCGTCGGCGTCGACGCGCGCCGCAAGCTCGCCAATGCAGACGCATGCGGCCTCGCGCACGAACGGGTTGTCGGCATCGGACGCGTCGACGTAGCAAGCGACACACTCGGCGGCGTACGTGGCGACGACGTGCCGGCCGTCCGCGCCAAGGAGCTTGGTCCACGTATCGCGCGAGTACTGCTTGACGCCTTCGGCCACGTAGTGGCGGTTGAGAGCCATGCGAGGGATGAGCTTGGGGTAGTACGTCACGCGTTCGTCGGTCGTGCAGAGGTTGACAAAGGCGCGCGTGGCCTGCGACGCCGTGAGCCGCACCTCGCTCCACGGATCCTGAAGGCCGCGCACGAGGCAGTCGGTGATGATCGCGCCCACAGTAGGGTGCGCTGTGAGGTACTCCGACGGCAGCACGCCCTTGGAGAGCGAGTAAATGGTCTCAAAGCCCACGTTGCGGACGTGGCGGTTCCCATGGCGGACGCTGCGCACGACGATGGACGAGAGAAACTTGAAGTTGTCTTCGGGAAGAAGCTCGAGAAACGCCGGGCCCAGGCCGTGCACAATGTACTTGATTGTGAGGAGGCACGTCTCGAGCGACTTGAAGCCCGAGATGTCGTCGAGGCGGTGCGGCGACTTGGGCGTTGATAGCGGCGACGCAAGCGGAATCGACGTGTCAAAGTACGCAAAGTACTCTTCTTCATTCACCTCTTCAAACTCGGGCGACCGCGTAATGTTGCACTCGACGATCTCGAGCAGCTCGGCCGCAAACTCGCGGTAGAGACCGACGCCGAGGACCGCCGCGAGCGCGCCGAGGGCCTTCCCGACCAGTCGTCGCACACGCGGCTCGAGGTTCTCCAAATGCGCATGGCACTGCGCGAGCACGATATGGCGCACAGCGTCGTGGGCCGCCACGTCCTTGGCAAAGTCGGTCGTGAGCACAAAGCCGACGGCGAGGACTTCCCAGCGCGGCTTCTCGGCGTCGACCAGGAAGGTCGGGATGGCGTCGACGTAGGCGGCCGGCGACGGCGCCGCGAGCAGCGCGTTGGCCGCGTCGACGATATGGGACGGAAGCTGCTCCCGGCGCAGGAGGCTGCGAAGGGCGTTCTCGGCGTTCGAAAGCTCCATTCGACAAATCGAAATTGACTTTGGTGTCCCACGCCTAAACGCACGCAACTATCCATCCCGGATACGTATAATCCTTGGCACTGGATTCGATCCACAAAGTGCAACAAGAGCTTATTGACGCTTGACTGCACCCAAGACCGAGACGCCTTGGACACGAAGTCGAAGACAGCAGGAGCGAGCAGGCATTTGATGTGGATAGGTAAGGCGAAGCGCAACGATAGATGCTGGATATTGCACCATCTCGCCATTTGTATCGGATAGCTATATTTTCGATTCTGTAGAATGGATAGTTGTGGCTTCCGGATGTCCGGATACGTGGGGCTGCATCCATGCAGCACAACAATTGGCCCTCATCTCGCGATTTCCATCGGCTTCTTCAGCATGCTGCGCTCGACCCTCTTTGCCCGCCGTGTCGTCGGCCTCGCCGGCCCGTCCAGCCTCCGCTCCATGGCCACGTACTCTCCGTCCATGGAAGAGATCAAGAAGCTCCGCACGGCGTCGCAGGCGCCCATGAAGGACGTCAAGAAGGCGCTCGTTGAAGCCGAAGGCGACTTCCCTGCTGCCTTTGAGTGGCTTCGCAAGAAGGGCATTGCGTCGGCGACCGCCAAGGCTGGTCGCACGGCCGCTGAAGGTCTTGTCGGTATCTTTGTTGACGCCGACAAGAAGCGCGGTGCCATGGTTGAGGTCAACAGCGAGACGGACTTTGTCGCGCGCAACGACCAGTTCCAGGCGTTGGTCGCCCAGGTCACGCGTGGCGCCCACGCCGGCGCGCTCCTTGGTGAGCTCGACACGCCTGCGATGGCCCAGGTCGCTGTCGAAGGCCGCTTGGTCGCGGACCTTGTCCCGGAGCTTGTCGGTCGCGTCGGCGAGAACATCGTCGTCCAGCGCGGTACTACGATCAACGTTGAGCACGGCGTTGTCTCGAGCTACACGCACCGTGTTGCGTCGCAGGAGCTCAACTTGGGCCGCGCGGGTGCGCTTGTCGGCCTCGAGGTCGAAGGCGAGCTCTCGTCCGCCAAGGTCGCCGACTTGGAAGCGCTTGGCAAGAAGCTCGCGATGCACGTCGTCGCGGCCAAGCCCAAGTTCCTGAACCGTGATGCGGTCCCGGCCGAGCGCGTCGAAGCCGAGCGCGCGTTTGTCTTGGAGCAGGTCCAGGTGCAGGCGACGAACAAGCCGGCCAACATTGTCGAAAAGATGGTCGACGGCCGCATGAACAAGTTCTTTGGCGAGGTCACGCTCGTCGACCAGGTGCATATGGTCGAGGAAGGCAACCCGAAGGTCTCGGCGCACTTGGAGAAGGAAGGCGCGCGCCTTGGCCTCAAGATCAAGCTCTCGGCGTTCCAGCGCTACGAGATTGGCGAAGAGCAGCTCTAAGTGGTTTCGCAACAATGTACTTGAATTCTAGATGCTTCACTCCTCTTACAACGCGTACGAACCCACGAAGAGGGCGAGAAGAAGCACAGCGACGACTGACGCGAGGACAAACTTGTTGTGCAGCAGCGACGGCGCGGCGGTCGCTGCCGTCGTCGTCGTCGCAGCCGGCGTCGTCGCAGCCGCGAGCTTCTTGCCGAAAAGCTCCTTTTCGCGCAGCCTTTGCTGCTCGCGCTTCTCCTTGACGAGCTTGATGAGGTCGCGCACTGCCTTGTTGGTCGGGTCGATCTCGAGCGCGCTTCGAATGAACACGGTTGCTTCGTCGCAGTCGCCTTGCTGGTACGAGATTTGCGCGAGACGGTAGATGGCCTTCATGTTCTTCGCGTCGACCTGCAGCACTTCCTTGCTCGAGTCTTTGGCCTCCTTGAACTTGCCGAGCTTGCACTGGACGTTGGCAACATTATTGCCGAGCGCGACGAGGAGCTCCTTGCACTGGAGGTTCGACGCATGATCCTCGTCCGAGTCCCATTGCTCGAGGACCTTGAGCGCCTTCTTGTAGCAGTTGGTCGCATACGCGTAGTTTTGGGCGCCAAACCACTTGTTGCCGCTCGCCTTCTTCTTGTTGGCCTCGGTAAGGAGCTCTGCGTTGGACATTTCTTCCGGGATCTTGCGCTCCGAGACCCATTTGTCAAGCGAAATGATAAACTTGATGCTGGCGTCCTTCATGTCTTGGTTGGCCTACGCGACGCGTCAATGAACCGCTTCTCGTAGGTGGCTGCGTACCTGCTCGTCAAAGGACCCGGCATTCCCATAGGCGTACCGCGCTTCGCAGTGGACCTCAGCCGACTCGCCTTCGCGCAGCAGCCGCGACAAGAGCTCCAAGGCTATGCAAAAGACGCGATACGTCGAGCAATGTGGTCAGTGCGACGCGTACCCGCCAGCGTCTCGTTGTCGCCAATGCGGAACGCAACCTGCTCGTTCTCGACGATGGCCTTGCCCGTCTCGAGCTCGTAGCTGCTGTACGTCATGATGACTTCGTCGCCAAACTCTACGAGGCAATGAGTCGCGGGCAGAGGTCGGTTCGATTACCAGCTTTCTTGCCGTCGGGGTTCGTCTTGATGTACTTCTTGCGGATGGCGCCGGTGCCCAAGACATCTTCAAAGCCGTCTTCCTTGCTCATGACCTAGACGGCGCTCCATGAGGGCCCTGCGCCATGGCAGACGTCAGCAGCATGCTCGTACACGCGTCTCGGATATCCCGTTTCACGCAATATAAATTAAAAAGGTCGCGTGTGGGTGTCGTCCAGCATGGCCCGTTCCGTATATCTTTTTAGGCTCGCGAACGCAGGACGCACGCCTCTGTGATTGGTGCTTGCTATGACAAAGATACTCGTCCCATACAACAATGCAGTATAGAAAGGTCGGCCTGCCATGCACTACGAACTTGGGGCGCACCCAGTTCTTATGTTGAGGTGCAACACAGTACAATAAAAAACGTGGATGTATTTTATTGATATAATTAATATCACATAGTCCGTCGAAGTAAAACGTGACACAATTGATTTAATGATATACCGTTTTTATTCCATGGGTGCACGATGGGCGGGTTTGTGTCAGCCAATCAGCGTGCGTGATTGGGCTCGATTTATATGTTTTCAGAGGGTTTGCATTCAATGTGGGAGGTTTTGGTTTATACTCGGCCAATGTAACGACCAACAGAACCATGAGTTTTGGTTCAAAAAGGAAGAAAACAAAAAACGAAGTCCGAGCTCCAGCAGCAGCAAGCAGCCCGCGAGCGACCAGACCACGAACGACCCACGGCTGCCAACCCAACGACCCCGCGCGCCCGCCAATTGCCCCTTCGCTACTACTACCGAAGCGCCATCTTCCCCGCGCTTCCTCTCACTCTACACTTCACAAGCTCGCCAACGATACCAAGCAAGGTACAGCGACCGTCGCATGCGACCCATTGATGCAGACGCTCATGGGTGCTGGCCGTTGTAGGCGCCATCATGACCACTGTCGACGTAGCCATGGCGTCCATTCCTCTCACAGAAAAGGCCACGCCGGTCGCCCAGCGCAGCACGACCAGCGACGGGTCGAAATCCAAGACCAAGGACAGCGTGTACAAACAAGACAAGGCCGCAAACGCCAAGAAGATTGTATATCCCCCGCGCCTTCTCGTTGACTTCAAGTCGCTCCAGGTAGTCATATCACATGACAATGGTCGTGACGACGGCGCGTAGATGGACGCGTTGCACAAGTACGTGGCCTTTTACCAGCTTCCCGTGCGCGAAGAGTACACGAAGGACGATCTGGCATCGCTCGTTGCGCGGTAGACAGTTGATGGCGACGTCATCGAGAGGATTGACGGTGGCTCCATATATAGGCACTTTGACTGCTCGCTCGAGGTCGAAGAGGACGAATCGATCCTGTCGTTCGTTACACGCGTCCGCAACGGCGAAAAGGCCAGCCGAACACAGCGCCAAGCGACGGACAAGAAGGTCAAAGCGGAAGCTGCCGCGGCAAAGGAAGCCAAGAAGGCGGCGCAGCAAGCGTCCAAGCCGGCGGCCGCATCGTCGAGCAACAAGCGGCCGCGGCCCGACGAGGCCGATGCGCATGACGAGCCAGAGAAGGAATCCAAGGACGACGTTGCGCCGCCGCCGGCCAAGGCGCCCAAGCCCAAGGGCGGCAAGTCGTCCAAGAAGGAAGAAGACAACGAGCTCTACTGCGTATGTAACCTCCCGAGCTATGGCAACATGATTGCTTGCGACGGCGACAAGTGCCCGAACCCCGCGCAGTGGTATCACTTGGAATGCGTCGGCATCTCGGACGGCCAGCAGCCCGACACATGGTATTACAGCTCACTGCGGGCGTGTGGCTCACGCGACAATTAGGATGTGCCCCGAGTGCGACCCGAAGGCGTTCGCGGCAGTGCTCAAGAAGAAGAAGAAGGCGCGCAAGATGCAGCAACAGTCAGGGTCCTCCTCGAGCTCGAGCTCGTCTCGCCGATAAGGGGTTACCTGCGCTCGACCCTTGCAATTACAAAAGGAACACCCTACTCTCCGTTGCATACCGTAAACAAATACAATGCTACACGCCCTTCTTCTTCTTCTTCTTGGCGTCGACGGCTGTGGTCTCGTGCAACAACCCAAGCGCTGCGTGCAGGAAGACTTGCTCAAAGGCCGCGGATTGAAGCTGGTCGAGGCGCCCGCCGCCGCCAAAATGACCGCCGTCTTCGCTGACGCGGAGCCAAATGTGGTCTGTCGGCGTCGCCGTGTTCTTGGCCCGAATCGCGTGCACGAGCTTGATGGGCTCCCAGTACTGCACGCGCATATCGTTCATCGAAGAGGTCAGGAGCATGCGCGGGTATGTCGTGTGGCGCTGGACGTTGTTCGTTGGCGCATACGAGCGCATGTAGTCTCGGACGACCAAGTCCTTCGGACAGCCCCACTCGTCGTACTCGTGGATCGTCAGCGGCAGCGACTCGTCGAGCATCGTGTCGAGAATATCCACAAAGGGTACATTGAGCACGAGGGCGCGGAAGAGGGTCGGGTATTCGTTCGCCATGTACCTACAACAAGCATCGATGCAGTGTCATGGACAAAGTGCTGCACCCCATGATGAGGCCACCGGCCGACGTGCCTTTGCCCGCGAGCTTGGCTGACGAAGTGATCCCGTGCGTCAAGAGGTACGTGGCGCATGCATGGTAGTCGATGAACGTATTCTTCTTGGCGAGCTGTCGCCCGTTGGCGTGCCACTGGAGACCGAGCTCGCCGCCGCCGCGGACATGGGCAAAGGCGAGGACCCAGTTGCGCTCGAGCAAACTCAGGTGCTCGACTTCGTACCCAAGCTCGAGGTTGGCACCGTAGGCGCCATAGCCCAGGAGCAGGGTCGGGTTGTTGCCGTCGTATACCACATCTTTGTGATGCACGAGCGTCATCGGAACGGAGGGGCCGTCGCTTTGGTCGACAAGCACGCGTCGGCAGACATACGATTGGCGCTCAAACGGCGCATGCGTCTCCTTGAGCGCATCGAGTTGCCCTAATTTGATACCTTGATACCAAAAGCTCATAAGCGTCACGTACGGGCCGCCATGTCGTAGTGGTAGACGATCTCGGGCACGAGCGGTGTCGACAAGGAAAACCGGACACTGGACGCGTGAAAGTCGCGGTTGATGCCGGCCATGAGCGAGCACACTGCGTGCTCCTTGGGCAGCGGCACAATGTGGTACGCACTTGGCTCGGCGAGCGGGCAAATGCGAACGCGCGGTAGCCCGTCGCACCGTTCGTAGAGCACAAGGTACTCTGCAAAGAGGTCCATGTCATCGATTTTGACACCTACAACGTGGCTTGCGATGGGTGTCGCACTCGTACACTGTACCTGGAAGGTCGGGCAGCACGTCCACCCACGTGCCAGTGCCAATGGCTGTGTCGTCGAGCCGCACGATCTTGTAGTTGGCGGCCTACGCCGTGCATTCAAGCAGGGAAACGGGTTTGGTGGCGTACGTTGTCGGCGTTGGTGACAATGTAAAAGGCGCCGTCCGAGTGGTCGGCAAAGTAGTGCGTGTGGTCCTGGCGAGCACGCAGCGTGATCGGCCGGGCAGTCCTGTCGGACGCATCGAGCGCGTGGACCTCGGACGACTGCTTGGAGTTGGCGTTGATCAAAACGAACTGTTGATCCTTGGTGAGCACCACGTCCAAGAAGACGCTCGGGTCGTGCTCGACATAGATCTACAGTATAAGTTGTGAGATGCAGAGATGCTGACTGGCGGCGACCAGCTCGTCCTGGGACGTTCCCGAGAGGGCGTGGCGATACACGTGGTGCGGGCGGTAGTAGGCGTCGGGCACCGTGTAGTACAAGCAGTTGGCCGTGCCCCATTCGATACTGCGCACGTTGCCATGCACACGCCGAGTTTGGCCTGTCGTGACGTTCTTGACGAACGCTTCAAACTGCTCGTTGCCGTCGCGATCGGCCGTATACGCGAGGTACTTGCCGTCCGGTGAGACTTTAAAGACGGTCACTTGACCGCAGTCGAGAACGTTCGGGTCCAGAAGCACCTCCTCGACGCACGTCCCGAGGTGCTGCCGGTAGTAAATCGGGTAGTTGGACCGTGGAAGGTGCTTGAGATAGTACGCATAGGCGCCAATCTGCTCAGGTATCGAGTGCTCCATCTCGCCCAAGTTGAGCCGTCCGCGCATCTCGAGGTACAGCGCGCGCTGGAACTTGCGGTGGGGCTGGCTCGCCTTCTTCCAGATGGCCTCTTCTGCCTACAGGAGCCATTCGCATGAGCGGATGCGGTTGATAGCAAGGGCGGACCTTTATGAATTGAGCTAGCTTCTTGCTCGTCGGATCGCGGAGCCACGCATGGGACGTCGAGGCCAAGAGCCGCGGCCGCAGTGCGCGTGGGAGCCACCGGCGTACTTGGTGGAGCATCTTCGCCAAATCTTATGGCCGCGCCCGATTGGTGATAAAATCGAATCGTTTTAGCCAATCCCATTGCGCTTGTGGTCATGTAGCTTCGAACTTCGTTGCTTCGACTCATGGTGTCACTTGTTTCTCATGCTCGATGTCAATGCTCATCCCAAGTGCCAGGCAACACGAGAATCCTCGCGACAAGAACTTCTCCTCGTTCTTGCTGTTCAATATCTCCGACACGGTGCTTAGCCTCGGATATATTCAGTTGGCTCGAACTGCATCATATCTTAGTCTGAGTTTGCAGTTGCTCGTTGGTCGGTGCGGTAAGGTGAGCCAAAAGCCGTTGAGAAAGGCCGTCGAGTCGCTCGACGAAAAGTCTCGTATGACGAGATCCAACGGGCGCAAGGAGCCACCGACGCGCATGATGCGTGGATGGCGTCACTGGCAGTCGCTAAGAGTGTGACCAGATCGACGTCGAACTCGGGCCTCGTTAGAGTCGAGCCGCAGCGGCGAATGGAAGAAGCACCTACCGCCGATCCGCACCCGTAGGTTGACCAATCACAGCGTGGGCCTCCATTTTGCACCATTACCGGTGCATTCTCGATGCCATCCCTGATGCCGTCCGTGCTCGCCAAGGCGCGCAAGTCCAAGGACGACGCTTCAACAGCGCGGAAGCGAGCGCAGTCGCGGGCGTCGACGCAGCGCTGGCGGCAGAGCCAGCAGGTATGCGCTTGCCTGCAAGGTCAACAGCGTGATCCTCATGGCGGCTGTAGCAATCCGTGGCCGTGATGCGTCGACAAGTGGCCGAGCTCGAGGCGGCCCTCGCCGCCAAGCTCTTTCACGATCGAGACGCGGTGCTTCCGCCGGCGATGGAGCAGCTGATGGCGGCAAAGAAGTACTACGTGCACGAGAACATGCAGCTGCGCGCGGCTCTGCAAAAGTATCAAGCGCTCCTGAACCAGACGCTCCTTGTACGCGATCATCGACGCTCTCAGCGTATGCGTGATTTTGTTGCGATAGCCGCTCCTGCGCACGGTACAGCCCCTCGTCCTCGACGATGCATTTGTCCGCAGCGAGATTCGCCGTGCAAAACTGCAGCTGGACGCGCTCGAGTTGCGCACAGGGTCGCACCTTGCGGGGCGACAGCTCCATGGCTGGAGCTGTGTGACCCACACACACAGCGACGCGGTCGTCTATGATATCCAGAAGCGTTTCCAGCATGTTTCACTTCACGTCATTTCCAACCACATCTGGCACGTCTACCAAGACTCGGCGGCGTATGTCCAGCTTGCCGACTTGATCTTAGACCACGAGGTTGGTGACTACTCGGTGTTACAGCCGCGGAGATGCGATCACGCCTTGTAGGTTCTGCGAAGGATCGGCGACAATGTGCTCGTCTTGCGCATCTCGACGTGGCTCCCGTCGCTCCAGCGAGCGATTCCCATGTACCTCGTGCTGTACCGCGAGATCGCACCATCGTCGTACTCGCTCTACGTGGCGACGCTGCGCCCCGACTTGACGCCGAGCCCCCATACGTTTGCGTATGCCGTTGGACCAACAAGGTGCGAGACTAAAACACCGTGTAGGTTCCTCGGCGTCGCGTCGCTGGACGGCTATGTAAGCTCGTGCAAAGGCGTCTACTCGCTCGTCGCCGGCAGCGTCGTGGACGCCGACTCGATCCTCGAGCAGATGATATTTTCGCACTGCCGCTTCGAAGCGCTTTTGAAAAGCAGCTTCAAGGACCTCCGTCTATGCGACCGATAGCATGACAGGGTGCTGGCCATAAAGTAATCCCACCGCCGTACCGTACGCTCGTCGAAGGCGCCACATCAGCTTTTTCCAATGACATGCCAGCAGCCGCATGAGAAGAGCCATCGGTCGGGAGCTGCTCCGAAAGAGTCGGTCGCCGCCACCACCCAGAGCCGTCACCCACGCAGTCAAGCTTCGTCGGAAAGGAATGAGAAAGCATATCTTGAGAGCGCTGCACTGGCGCCACACCACTCAACGCTGGACTTCAGCACGCGCTGGTCAGTGGCGATCTTTGCAGCCATCCTTGCAGCAATGCATGTGTTAGAGATTACGTGTGGATTATAACACTGTGGGATGTGCTTTGCAAAGACGCCTACTCTTGCCACCGGCCGCGCCAGCCATTCGCATCGCGCACTATGGCAAAGCGACGTCTCGGGGTCTGCGCTCGGCCGCCTCCTCCCGCGACGTCGGCGTGGCGACGTGGCGACGTGCTGTCGCGGCGAGTAGCTTCGTCCCTGCACTCCAAACCATCGAACAATACGCTGGGTATCCGGATACCGAAGGAGCGTATCCGGTTGGGATATGGAATATCTTTTTTAAGGTTGCTCAACGAGGTGTTACAGTCAAAAGAAGTGTTTGCTGGAGGGGACCCCTCAAAGCGAAACTTCCCCGGCGACGGTCTCCTCCATCTTGGCGGCCAGGAAGACGACCCCACGGAAGACGACCCTCATCAGGTACGCGCGATGGCGCTTCCGGCTGCAGCAGGAGCATGGCTGCATGCAATATCCGCGATACGACAGATGGATGGCTCATGGTAGCTGTAGCGCGGAAGCATGGACCTGCCGACGCGTGCGCTCATGCGCGCCAACTACGACTCGTTCGACGTGCATGCGACGCTGGGCACGGGCACGTTTGGCCGCGTCCGGCTCGTAAAGCACAAGGAGAACAACACGTACTATGCGCTCAAGATCCTCAAGAAGTGCGAGATCGTGCGGCTGCAGCAGCTCCACCACATCAAGTGCGAAGTCGACATCCTCAGCAAGATTGACCACCCGTTCATCGTCAACTTTATCGGCTCGTTCCAGGACGAGAAGCGATTGTACCTCATCCTCGAGTATGTGCCCGGCGGCGAGCTCTTTTCGTACTTGCGCCGCCAAGGCAAGCTCTCGGACGAAGCGTCGCGCTACTACACGTCGCAGCTCGTGCTGGCGATCGGGTACCTCCACAGCCTCCACATTATTTACCGCGACTTGAAGCCCGAGAACCTCCTCATCACGCAAGACGGCAGTATCAAGATCACGGACTTTGGGTTTGCAAAGCGCGTCGAGGACAAGACGTGGACACTCTGCGGCACGCCCGAGTACCTCGCGCCCGAGATCATTCAGAGCAAGGGCCACGGCAAGTCGGTCGACTGGTGGGCCATCGGCGTCTTGATATACGAAATGCTGGCAGGGTACGCGATCCTTCCACGAGACAACGCCATCTCATGCGCGACTAGGTACCCGCCGTTCTACGACGAGAACCCGTTTGGCATCTACCAAAAGATCCTCACGGGCAAAGTCGAGTACCCGAAATACATTGACAGCAAGGCCAAGGACCTGATAAAGAAGCTCTTGACGCACGATCGGACAAAGCGACTCGGTACGCGACGAGGACGATGCCAGGTTGCTCATGCGTATGTAGGATGCCTGCGCAATGGCGCCGAGGACGTCAAGAAGCACAAGTACTTTGCCAACGTCATTTGGGACAATGTGATTGCAAAGAAGGACAACCCGCCCTACTTGCCGCCGATCCAGGGGCCCGGCGACCACGGCAACTTTGACCAGTACCCCGAGTCAACGGAAGACACGGCCGTGGCGCTCACGGGCGACGACAAGGCCGCGTTCGACGCGTTCAACATGTTTTAAACCGACGACGCGCGTCGTTCATGCTGTATCATTTACTAGCGAAAGATAGAGAGTAGTCCGCGTCTTCCGCGCCCCACCCTAAATAACCCATTTACGTCACACGTCGTTTCGAAACGTACATGGGCGCTGCGAGCTCGTCGCGACTGCTGGCGACGACCGAGGCCGCGCTGGCCGACGGCGCCGAGGTCCTCGACCTCTCGCACGAGCCGCTGCGCGTGCTGCCGCCCACGTTCATTGCGATGCTCTCGTATGGCGTGCAGCTCAAGGAGCTGCGGCTCTCGAGCGCTGGCCTCACGCAGCTGCCCGCGAGCTTTGGCCGTCTCGCCGCCCTCGAGTATGCACGCACATGTAGAGGCAGATGAGCCCAGTGCTATAGGCGTCTCGCGCTGGACCGCAACGCGCTCAAGGAACTGCCCATCTCGTTCCACGAACTCCGACGGCTCCGCGCGTTGGACGTGAGCTACAACCAGCTGGCGTTGCTTCTGGTAGATCGCATGGGGTTCTTCGTCGGCCGCTATTCGATGATACTGTTGTAGGGCAACTTTTGCGACCTCGTCGAGCTCCAGCATCTCTGGTTGCACTCGAACAAGCTGACTGCGCTGCCCGACGCCTTTGGGAACCTCCAGGCGCTCACGACGCTCAGCGTGCAGAACAATGTGCTCGGGCGCCTCCCGTACTCGATCGTGCGGATACCAGGGTCCATAAACGCCGTCTTTGGCCCGCGCTCTGAGCGTTAGTAGGCTCCAAGTTGTCGACGCCAGCGACAACCATATCATGGACCTTCCCGTCGAGTGGGAAACGTGCATGGCGCTGCGAACGCTTCGGCTCTCGCACAACCTCCTCAACAGCATCCCGACGGGGCTATGGGACCTGCTTCAGCTCGAGACGCTGACGCTATCGCGTACGATCTTGTCTTTGTTGTCATATCTCGAGCACTCAGCAGACAACCGACTTGTGGAGCTCCCGCTGCCGACACCGGTCGCCCACCTGCCGAGCCTGACCAACCTCAGTGCGTCGAGTGAAATGTGGCTACGGCGCTGAGAATTGCGATGGCAGGTCTGAGCTACAACCGCATCGACGCCCTTCCAGCATCGCTGCTGCAGATGCCCCGCGTCCAAGTGCTCACGTATACGCAAAACAAGTCTGCGAGCTGCCCGTGGATATGGAACTGATGAGAAGTAGACTGGCCACTGTCGACGACAACCTCTTTCGACTGGTCGATCTCGTCTTCCTCGATCTCTCGGAGAATAGCTTGGCGGTCCTGCCGTCCGACGGGTGGCACGCCCTCGCCCGCCTCGTCGAGCTTCATGTCGCCAACAACCGGCTCACGGCAGTGCCAAGCGGCTTGGAGCTGCTCCCAAAGCTCCAGTTTTTGAATCTGAGCAACAATCTACTCCAGACCGTACGCGCGTCTGGACACGGCGGTTCTTCTACATGGCTCAGTCCCTCTAGTTGCCCGACGCGATGGGCCAACTGACGTCGCTCGAGACTCTGTGGTGTCAGAACAACGAGCTCAAGGGTCTTCCGCCGAGCGTTGACGGATGGCAGCTGCTGCACACGCTTGCCCTCGAGCACAACCGTGGGTCCACCGCGGAGACGGTTCGACACTTATGTATCGCGTAGCTATGACGCGCGTGCCATTGACGCTCACGTCCTTGCCAGCGCTTTGCCACCTTAGCATGGACCGCAAGTCGTTTGCGCTGCTGGACCCAGAACTGATTTCGTTCTGCAACCAACTCCCCGCGTTCGAGATCCACGGGCTGTAGTATCAAGGTATCAACAATCGAGTTACTCCCGCCGCAGTCGCTCAATCTCGGCTTGCATGTCGTCCGTGAGCCTATACAAAACGCACACCGTCAGAATACGTGGGCGAAGGACGAGCAGCGCACTTGGCCCATTTGCGCATCTCTTGCGCGCTGAGCTCCGTCACGTCGCGGAGCTGGTGCTCGAGGGCATCGCGCTGGTGTCGGAGCTCCTTTCGCTCTTGGAGGAGGTCCCAAATCATCTATTCGACGACGACGTCGCATGCCATCTTGTCGGACGAAGCGACGAACCTGGTCCTTGACGCGTAACAGCTTGGTCGTCTCGTCGCTCATTGCCGGCGTCTCATACACTGCTATCGGGCGAGCCATGGCCTTTGCCTTCTGCGCGAGCTCTTCTGCGGCGGCGTAGATCTAACGCGAGTGAGCGGGACGGGGCACCGTGGGGAGCTACGTGAGGAAACTCGTCCAGGAATTCGTGCATCTCGTGGCTCGAGATGTGGTCGCCTACACAACATCCCTGAGAGGCAACGCTGTAGGGCGGTAAAGGGCGAACCCTTGTAGCGCTTAGCATGGACGCTACTTGTAATGCGGTCGATGAGGTCGATATCTTGGTCCAGCTCCATCTGCTGCTTGGTGGTCTACGCCGTGCACGTCGCGCTGGCGCATGGACGGGGAGAGTACCTGCGCTGTCGCAGGTGCCCAGCGCAATGCTGGGTCGGTTCGACGGCTCATCTACAGTGCTTGGCGAACGGTAGACTAGAGATAGACATTCGTACTCTCTCCATCAAGGTGGCTCGGTACGGCAGCAGCACATTGTCACACATGGTGTTGAGCTGCTCGAGACGCGACTCGAAGAGCTGGTGCGTGGACGGTGGTGGCGGGCGGCGCTATCTCTGTGTGTTAGTTGTGCGTCGGCGTTATAGCACGTACGTGCGGCTCAAAGGTGCTCCATGCCGGCCCGTCTTGCAGTGGAAACCTATGGCCGAACTCAGGCAACGCCTGTCGCGCGACAAGTACGAGGGTGGTGGGCGACCGCTGTGCTTGAACGCGCGAGGTGACGTCAGCTCTTCGACGAACGGCACGAGCTGTTTCTTGAAGTCACGGATGAAGCCGTGGAACTCCTTGAGATTGAGCGTCCCCGATCGGTCCGTGTCGTAGCTAGTGGGATGCGTGGTGGTCACGTCCATCATCCATTGCACTACCGTTCAAAGAGCTGACCGGCTTCAAACTCCGAGTTGCGCGACGTTCGCTCAAAGCCCAGCGGAATGCCCGCGGCGTCCGTGAGCGCGCACGGCGCCATCTCCCACTTGCGCTGCGGGTGCGACGCATTGTAGTCGGCCAGGAGCTGCATAAAGTCGTCCCGCGTGATATGCCCGAGCTTCTCCCGATCATACCTACAAGCACACGGCAGCATGAGCTTCTCTCGTCGCCGCAGAGGCAAGCTCGACCGGCGAAATAACTGAATTGCGTCTGGGTCGCTCGGCTCGGGTCTAGTGATAGGAACACACAATCAGCGACCAGCACGCTTTTCGATGCGCGGCTACTCGGGCGGCGGCGGCTCGGCCTTCTCGGTCTTCTCCTTCTTCTTGGAGGACGACTTGGCCTTCTTGGGCTTGTCGCCTTCCTCCTTCTTGGCCTTCTTCGTCGTTGCCATCGCCAGGTCAACCGTCGCGGATCTTGACGAGGTGTTCGAACTTCGATTTTAGTTGAACCCAACCCATGTGCGACGTTGACGTTGCGAAGTTCGAACTTCGATGCTCATGACACAGCGTGCGCTCCGAGGCATCCAGCGCTCAAGCCGACGTCTGGTATGACGCTGGGCCCTGCCCAGCGTGTCTTTGCCGTCGCGACGCTCGTCCGTGTTCACTGAAGGGTCTGCCAGCAGCTTGGCAGATTGCCTGGCTCTGATAATTCGAACTGGGTATGCGGAGAAAGTCCTTGTTTGCAACTGTTGTTTCAATGCAAACCTTCTCGACTATATAGCTTTGAAAGGACGATCGACGCGATAGTAGCAAACTGTGTTGATACAAGGGAGTCTCCCGTTGATTGATTGGGAAGCCGCGCCATCTAAGATCTACAGCGTCAAGCAGATGGCAACGATCATTTGGGCAATCCACTTCGGTGTGAAAAGCGACATTTCGGCTTTTAGTTTGTGCCCATGAAGCCCTCGACACTGCTGCTGGTCTATGCGGCGTGTGCGGCTGCCGTCTCGATCGCGCCGCCGTCGCACCCGCACGCGCTCGGCCTCGTGCCCGGCTACAGCGACACGAAGCCGCTCAACTTTGCGCACTACGCCGGCCGACTGCAGCTTTCGAACGCGCAAAATATGTTTTACTGGCTTGTCGAGGCCGAAGAGAACGCGGCGCATGCGCCGCTCGTGCTCTGGCTCAACGGCGGGCCTGGTTGCTCGTCCATCTCGGGCATGTTCACCGAGAACGGCCCGTTCGTCGTCCAGAGCGACCTCAGCGTGAAGCGCAATCCGTACGCGTGGAACCGCCACGCTAACATGCTCTACCTCGAGTCGCCGTCCGGCGTCGGCTTTAGCTCGCCGCTCCTCGACGCGTCCGAGTACAACGACCACGTGACGACCGAGCGCGCGGTCGAGTTTCTCGATCACTTCCTGACCGCGTACCCCGAGTACGAAGGCCGTCCGTTCTATGTCACGGGCGAGAGCTACGCTGGCATGTACATTCCGTGGCTCGTCGATCGGCTCGTGCAGACGCCGCTGGATGGGCTCAACCTCCGCGGCATGGCGATCGGGAATGCGTTCACAGACCAGGACATTGACAACGAGAGCTACATCGACTACTACTACAGCCACGGCCTCATCTCGATGGAGGCGTACACCGCGATCAAGGCGACGTGCGTCGGGGAGCTCGCACGCTGCATGTACGACGTCCCGCTCAACTGCTCGTCCGCGTGCCGCAGCATCATCGACAAAAGCGTCAAGACGATCGCGGAAGACACGATGGACCCGTACTACATTTACGGCGACGTGTGCTTGCTCCAGAACGACGAGAGCCTCGCGCTGCCGCACACGCGGCATCTCAAAAAGAAAAAGAAGGCGATGACGACGACGCGTCGCCTCGACACGCGTGTGTCGCCGTGCACCGACACGTATACCAACGCGTACCTGCAGTCGGCGGCGGTGCGAACATTCCTCAACATTTCCGAGCCGATCGTGTGGGCGCCGTGCAGCGACGAGGTCGGCGACCGCTACACGAGCTCGGCCACGGTGCTGCCCAAGTACGAGACCATTTTGGGTGCCAACTTGAGCGTCCTCATCTACTCGGGCGACGCCGACGCCGTCGTGGACTTTATTGGGACGCAGCGCTGGATCGGAACGCTCAACCGGTCGATCGTCGACGAGTGGCATGCATGGTATGGCCCGGACAAGCAGCTCGCGGGCTACACCCAGGGCTACGACGGTCTCACCTTCGCGACCGTCAAGGGCGCAGGACACATGGTCCCTGCCGTCCGCCCGCTCCACGGTCTCTATATGTTTGAGTGCTTTGTCTTTGGGAGCGACAAGTGTCGCGACTGGGAATACCCCTTTGATGTCACCGAGGTCGCCTCGGGCTTTGTGACGGCGTCGGCGCTCACGGCTAACCTCTCGGCAGCGCACAGTCTTCCCAACGGCACGCTGCCCCTCACCGCCCTCGTAATATGCGCGGCGCTGCTCACGCTTGTCGTGCGCAAGCGCCTTCAGCCTGAACGCCACCAGCGGTACCAGATCGTAGTCTAGTTGACGTTAGAATCGCAGACAACTTGTTCCATCGTTGCCTTTCTGCGGTCCTTTCACGCCCTATCGCAAACACCACAAACAGAACGCGCAAGCCACGGGCGACACACCCTACTGACCCTACTGCTATGAAGGGTGGTCTAGTCCAACGGACGCGACCGTGAAATCCTACAGTACCCCATCCAAGACTCTTGCCCATCAGCCTCCAGAGCATGCCACGTCATCGAGGATGGGCTGCCCACGTGCAGCACTGTACGCGTCCGTTGTATGTGCAGCGCGGGTGCTTGAAGATACATACATCCAGGTACCTACGTGTGCAGCACGCCCAGGCAGCGCTCATTTTGCCGACGGGACCGCTGCTGGCCCCGTGCTACTGCTGCTACTGCCATGGGGAGAGAGCGTTACTTGTGCCCGGCTCCATTCTGGCGTTGGTTATCTTGCCGGTTACACGCTCGGTCCATCTCGCTTCCGATCGTCGCTTGCGTCGTCCTTGGAGCCTGACGGAGCAATGGTCTCTGGCAGCGCATAAGCTCTGTTAGTACATATGTGTGCGGAGGTGTACGTTCGCTTGGCTTGCCGCCATCATACGCGAGGAAGATGGCCGCGGCCACATTGCACGTCGTTACAGTATCCGGTCGTTATCCGGTCGTTGCCTTTTTTCGGCGTCATTCTCCGCACCTCTAGCGCAGCGCAGAGAAGCAGATCCATCAGAATCAGGACACTGCGATGGTCATGGCATCGCTGACGACGCCGCCCAAGGCCCGGAAGCCGCCGAGCGAGGGCTTCATGGCCAACGTCTCGCTGCAGTTTGACAACTGGCGCAAGCGCATGCAGCAGCCCGAGGGCCCGCCGTCGCCCGAAGAGGCGCAGCATCCGCATCTGCCCGCGTTCTCGGACGCGGCCGAGTGCCACGTCTGCCACGACGCGCTTACGCTCCTCAAGTTCAAGCACAACTGCCGCAACTGCGGCAAGTCGGTCTGCGGCGCGCACAGCAAGAACCAACTGCCGCTGCCCGAGCTCGGGATCCTCAAAGAAGTCCGCGTCTGCGACGTGTGCTACCAGCTCAAGGTCTCGCGCCGCGCCGGCGCGCGCGAAGTGCCGCCGACAACGAGCCCGACGCCGGCAATAGCGATGACGGGGCCCAACCCGCGCGGGTCGTCGCTGTGCGGCATTCTGTACAGCGGCCTCGTCGAGGAGCAGGACGACATGCTCGACGAGATGCTCTACTTGGGCTCGTTCCGGCTCGGCAGTCGGTCGCTCGCGAGCCGCAACTTCAACCCGAACATTGCGATCTGGATCGAGCGGCTTTTCATGCTCACGCCGGCCGAGCTCTTGTGCTTCAAGCCCCAGAAGGAGAAGGAAGATTTTCTCCTCGGCATTGGCGAAGTGCGCACATCGATCCATCTCACCGACATCCTGCACATTGAAGTCGACGACAACTACCCGCGGATTCTCACAGTCGTGCGCTCGGACGGAAGGTATCGTGTTGTTCCTAGTCCAAATATGCTTATAACGTTTTAGGATCTTCCGTATTCGCACAAAAGAGCCCGAGACGTGTGCACTCATTTACGAGAAGCTACGCGAGACCATCCAGACCTTCCAGGACGCTCTGTACAAGCTCCAGCGCGGTCTCGTGCCGGAAGACAATGCGATTTCGTGCGTCACGGTGCAGCACGCGCCGCTGCTCGACGAGGTCGTCGTGCCCAAGTCGAGCGACTTGGGCTACCACGTATCGCTCTACCCAACGTCGATTCTTCGCGCCTACTGCCTCGGGCCGTCGTCGGTCCACGGTGTCGCGTCCTTTGCCCGGGACGAGATTGCCGCCGCAACGTCCCAGCGCATTCGCAAGCGTGTCGAGCCGTCCATGGACGAGCTGTACCTTGTGCTGCACCTCGGCGCCCGTACGCATCTTTGGTTGAATATGGAGCGTATCGAGGACTCATGGCGCGTCATGTGGTAGAGCGCACGGTGCAGTACGCGTGGCAAGACGTCGGGCTCTTTGGCCTCCAGCTGCTCGTATGGACGCTCGTGTTTGCATATGGCATGACGCGGTACTTTGAAGCGGGCATTCTGCTCTGGTCGATGATGCTCGTCGTATTGGGCGTGCGCCTCGGGCCGCATATGCGGCTGGCGTGGCACACGCGCGCGCTCGCCACCTCGTACCGCCTCGAGCTGCCCCAAGTCGACTGCCAAAAGCAAAAGACGTCGGCCGGCGGCGACCTCAAGGAGAGCGATGTCGACCCGCGCTTCATTGCAGCGTGCGGCAACGACCTCGAAGAAGCCAAACGCAAGTACATCAAGTACCTCCAATGGCGCGACGAGAACAGTATCGATACGATTTTGCTCCGGCCGCACCCGCACTTTCACATTGTACGTCGACAAAGTTGGACGACTTGTCTCATATACGATGACAGATCAAAGAGTCGTACGTGCACTTGACGCACAAGCAAGACAAGCAAGGACACATGATTTCGATCGAGCTCGCGGGCAACATGAAGAAGGGCATGGCCAACTTTTTGTCGAAAGGCGTCGTCGAGGCGGACGTGGTGACGCACCTCGGGTTTTACAACGAGTTTTTATGGAACGTGATTGACCGCCGATCGGCGCCGTTCGGGACGCAGCTCAAGATTCTCGACTTGAACGGCGTTGCGCTGAGTGACTTTGGTGGCGACGTGGTCGCGTTCATGAAGCAGTGCTCGGCCGTCGGCGAAGCGTACTACCCGGAGCGCCTCTACAAGGTCTTTATCGTCAACCCGCCGTCGTGGTTCAACATGATTTGGAAAGCCGTGTCGCCGCTCGTCAACCCCAAGACGCGCGAAAAAGTAAGTTTTGGATTTGGTTTTAGAATCTGGAATCGATGATGCACTAGATCAATGTGGTCAAGGGCCAGAAGGAAATCCAAAAGGCACTACTCGAGTACATTGACGCGGAGAACCTCCCCGTCGAGTATGGAGGCACGTGCGAGTGCGTCGGCGGCTGCCTCACGCACTCGCCCGACGAGAATCTCTTGCGGGAGTACGTCGACCGCCTCAACTCTGGCGAAGACTGCACTGAGTACCTCCAAAGCCTCATGGACGCGGCCGCGGCCGTCGCCGATGCCACGCATGTGACGACGCCAGCGGTAGCAGGCGGCACGGAGCCCGACACCAAGATGAGCTCGCGCCACTCGGCCACCAACCTTGCGCATCTCGATGTCCCAGCAGGCCCCAAAAAGCGCCGAGCGTCGCTGGTATGATAAGAGTTGATACAAAAGAAACATCTTTTGGCTCTCGAGTTTGGTGCCAGAATCGACCGGCCCACCCACGATGTCGAGCTTCTCTTTGCGGGGTCGTCTGGGTACCTGGAAATCCTTCTCC